GAATATTGAATATAGAATATAGAGTACAGAATATAGAATATAGAATATAAAATAAATATAAAATATAAATCAAATTCAAAAAGCAAACTGCCATTAAAAGTTTGGAAAGATAAGAACGTCACAAACTTAAGCTAGCTGATATTCTTATGGGGGTAGTACAAAGTCAGTGAACTTAATATTCCCATAAGAACAAGTAATTTTCTGAGAGTCTGAGAGCTCTTTGCTTTTTGTATTTATTTCAGCATACTCTGCTCAGTTAATACTAGCTAAAGTATGACATTACGGAAAGGGATTTTTACTTCAACTTTAACTATTAACACTTGTAAATTGTCACTTCATTTCAAAGGTCATGTTTCAGCTACATGCTGAATACAAAGAAATGTCACTATGCATACATGAACATTATATGCCCATTACTGTTTTCAATTTACCCTGTTACAAAGAGAGAAATATCTACAGAAGAGCACATTTAATTTTTCTGTACTCCCACTCCCATGACTCAATTTGCTCTAAGAATTAAGGAAAACATAAGAAAAAATAAATACAAAAATAAGTACAGGCATTTCTGAAATCTTTCCAACAATTTCAAAAAAGCTTTCTTTGCTGGCAATAACTATCATATTACCTTGAATCTGACTCCCTCTTCCAGCACAATATATCCTTGAGAAGGGGTCAAATCCACTGATGCTTCTGAAGAATTAATTTCACTTACAAGATATTGAACAGTCACGGTGCCAAATATCCCCTGAGGAGGTTCTCTAATAATACTCAATACTGCAACACTTTCCATCAAATGGAGAGCTGTTTGCTCTCTTAGGAAGAAGTGATCACTGTTATTGAATGACAAAACTCCATGGCCATCATCATTGGCAAGTATAGTAATTGTGGCTTTTTGAGAAATAAATAATGGAAATATACTTTAATCAACATAAGAAAATATAATTGTACGTATATATACAAATAAAATACATATAACTATAAATCCATAATTCCTTTAGTGTATATATAATCCTTTTACGTCCATGATATTGCTTGAAGAGAATATATAAGAATTTTACTTTATCTAGGAAAATTTCTAGACAGGAAGAAACTAGGGTCTCTTATTAAAACATCACTTTTGAATTTGTTCATTCCGTATTTTGCATACTATCTTGTTATTTGCATAGATTTCACAGGCATGTTTAAGAACTTTCCAAAGGTGTATAATAATCTACGAAAGCAGGGCAATGGTGTTTTCTGAAATGTGATTATTCAGAAGAATGAAATTGAAATGATTACAATTCCAAAGACTGAGAACATCAAAACTAAGCCTTACCTGCTGTGTTCTTCCCTAATTCCAGGCCCAGAGAGGGGTTTGTTAAAATTAACTGGAACTTCTCATCACCTTCAGGAATATTATCATCAAAAATCGTGACAACAACAGATTTATTCCTTTCTCCATCAGCAAAAAAAAGAGTCTAGCATCAAAACACAGAAAGCATTGAATACTTAACAGCTGTTAATACACACAGAATTTTTCAACTGAAGCAAGGACAATTGTCTTAAATGGGAAGCAAAAGGAAGCATGAAGAGCTGTAATCTCTGTCTCTTATAAATTGAATGAAACAGAAGTAAAAAATTTCAGCACACTGTAGAATGAGGACAAGCAAGAGCAATTTATTTTGAAAGTTCTGTTGCAAAAAATATGAAAACCTATGTGAAAACCTGTATGATCTTAACTAAGCAAAACTGTATTTGAGATCTATGTCTGACAGTTTACAATGTGTCTTGTATTTAAAAATACTTTAGTATTTAAAAAGAAACAATAAAATATGATGACTGTTTTTATCTCATTTATTCAGATGACCAAAGCAACTGGAACGAGTTGAAAAATCTAGCTGCACTACTGCTCATCCTGCAGGATAAACAAGAAGATATCCTCCTGCGGACGCTAAAGGAACGAGAAGTACTAGATTTAGAACTTGCTTCTTACCCTTGAAATTACATCAAAATCCAAACCCAGCTGTGCCTCTAAATTTTGGGCATAAAAAAATACAGACACATTGCCATACGATCCTCTGTTTCGGTATGCCATTATGGTCAGATTCCCTTGAGATTCATCAACTTCAAAACTGAAACAAAAAGCAAGAAAAATTCTGAGCGCTCACTGAATACATGTCCTTTTGAATAAGATGGTAGATAGTGTATACATTTTCACTTCAACTCAATTGCTATGCTTTATAACAAAAAGGCATCATTACAGTATCACCATCATTTCAATTGTGTAATACAAACTTTTTTTTTTCCCCCCCATCTAAATGGAATTAAGCCTTAGGAGGCTGTGCTTTTTTTCTGGTTTATTAGTGGCAGATTAAGCCCCTCTGTATTCGTGGGTGCCCTCTTCCTGGCTCCAGCAAATTGCAGAAGAAGATCCGGGAAATGCCGGTGCATAAGTTTGCATGAACGTAAGAGGCTGGAACATTGGACAGAGGCTGGGGGAGTGACCCAGGTTCAAAAGGACAGCAGTGAAAGTAAGTTTACGGTAGCAAAAGGTCAGTAAAGATACTGTAAATGTTTGGTTTCTTACAGTTTCCGGCTTTACTCAACTGAATGATGCCTTGCCGTCTCAAAGATCTGGACCTATTTTTAATAGGAGTTTTATTGTTAACTGAAAATTCAAATAATCGGGCAGCCCCAGTCACAAACTGACACATTTTTTCAAGACTTACTTGCTACTTTCCCATTCAATTACTCCGCTTACTCCATCATTAGAATCAATAATAATTTGAGAAGCTAGACCTTCCACATCTAAAACGGAAAACAGAAGGACAAATATGAAAGAACAGTAAAGTCCATTTGCATGATTTTCAAGTATAATAGAAGCATTTCTTAAACCCATATAAATTTTGTAGAAGCAATACAGTCCATTTCCAAATAGTGGAGGAGAAAAAAGTAGTGGACAAAATAATAGGAAAGGCTCAAAGAAAATCTGTCCTTATTACTTTGCTAATAGCAAAATAGCTCTAATAGAGCTGCAACACAGTGCCTTGAATTACCATGGTTGCATTTAATAATGCATTAAAAAAAAGACTAAAGAAAACTAGAAAGCAAAATATAGCACAGAAAAAACAGGAAATGCCAAAAGTAAGATTTCTCTTGGAATCTTAATTCATCTTCATTGTGTGTTTATTACAATGACATTCAACATTTTTCAGAATTACTTACTCCACATATCACACGCAGACAGCCACGACAGGAACAGTGCATGGAATATATCCCAGATGTGCAGGACTGACTGCACGTGCCTGTACCGTGTGCACAACACACATCTCTTTTGATATTAGATGCCTCCAAGAAAAACTTCGAACATATATCATACAGGGTATGGGATTGCTAGAAACCCTGACCAGATGTAATGCACCAATAGGGAGTTAAATTGCCAATTGTAACAAATCAAAACATACTGATAGGGGAAATAAGATTAGAAAATAGTCTAATAGTGGCATTCATAGTGATACTTTACAATGAGGACAATTTGTTTGCCTCATGGGTTAAAACTACGATCTATTCATCCTAAGTATATTTACCCCAATGAGGATATCAGAAGAGGGTTGAATGGTTACGATTCAAAGAGACTGCTAACCCTTTACAATGGAAGATGAAGCTATACAGCACTCAGCACAATTTAGTTTGGAAAAATCCTTACACATTACACTTTCTATCGTTTACATCTTAGACTTTACTACTCACAGCTCAGTCTCTACAAATCAGCAATGAGTCTTGCAAGTTACCTTTCAATCTGTAACGAATTAACTCTGTCACTTCTATAGGCATGCAAAGAAAAGGGAAAAGAGTCGAAGAAGGTGTTAGAAATAATCACTGTAACTGCTCGCTAGTAGCAAAGGGTAATGCAACTGTCCTTAAAGCCAATGGCAGCTCTACTACTGAATTCTGAAGCAGCATGAAGAGTTAACTAAGCAAATCACAAAATCACTGGAAGAGCTGGAAAACCACAGGATATGACTCCTAAAAGTAAGCCTGATAAAGAGTAATAAAAAAAGGATTTAAAAAGAATGAACAAAGTAATCACATAACATATTTTTTGACATTTTTGTTCCCATTATGTACTTGAAAATTAAAATCAGATTAATGCACTGCTAATACAATTTTTCAGATAACTGTGGTCTCCAAGAGTTAATTACTAACACTTCAGTGAAAATTGCTGTATATATTTTACAGAGCTTAAAAATGTGGGAAGCAAGTGTTATAATGAATATGGTTGATATTCTGCAATGGCTTTTTTCGGTATATCCTGTCTCATATTGGCATAGTTGGCAAGTGGAATAATGATAACATGCCACAGTAATATAATCTTCACACAATTTACATAAAAGGAAAAGCAAGGATAATTCTGTGCAAGCTGTTTTACCCAGTCTAGGTAGGGATGAAGTTGAATGGTTCATGATGAGTTCCACAGAAGTTAAATTAACCAAGAAGAATTCTTGCACCTCTGGTACATCATCCTGCAGATCACAAATTGAGTACATCCACTTTTAATTTTCCTTTAAGAAACTATCACCAAAAAGCAGCACACTAGAAGTCACTATAATTATAGCAGCACTGTAATCAATTTATTTTTCTATTTTCCTGAAGTACTTTTATTGGTGAAGTACTTTTATTGATTGAATTATAAGGTATTGAAAAAGGGATTGTGGTGGCACTAAACTATTCTTGTGAAAAAAATCTGTTCAATTTTAAAAGCAAAAACACCAATCAACAGGAAAATAAAAGCCTGTTGCCAGCAATGAATTATCCTATTTGGAATATCAGATAGCAGTGTTAATGGGACAACTAAATTTCATTTATCCATAGATAGATCTGCATTCTCATATTATCTGTCCTTCTGCAATTTTAACATTAAGATTTAAAACAGCTTTCTAAATGACAGTGAAATACACAGCTTCAAGTAATACATAGGTTGCAAGCTCCAGGTTTCTTTTCTGATGTCATAGATATCAGTACAGAACGAAAGGTTTCAGAGTTTACCTCTAGAATAGTAATATTTATAGCAGCTGATGTTTCCCCTTCTTCTAAAATCAGTGAGCCAGAAACAGCTACATAATCAGCTCCTGGTTCAGCCAAGGTCCCTTCTGTCTGATTACTTAAGGTGAGTCCTGGAACTGTGGCATATGTAACATTGACAGAACCTGTTTCATTTGTGACAAAGAAAAATACCAATTTTTTCAATTCCAGTAATGCTCACTGGAACAGGCAAAGAAAAGAGATCAAATCACCCACAAAACTAAAAGTCTAACTGCAAAACAGAAGGATTAAAAAATTAATCTGGAGCCAATGGAACTTTGTTATTGTTTGTAATGTCCTTTCACGCCAGTCTTTGGTGATTCATCCAACATCACAGGACTCAAAAAACATTAGAACCAAATGCATTCAGGTATTTGAAGTGCTGTGGACTGCAAATACTACTTTGCTGAAGTACTACCTGGGACATGTAATGCATTAATAATGTCAGCTTTGGTGCCAGGGGAAATAGAATGTTTCAGGAATGACTGATACTCGAGGCTGTGAAGACAGGGCTGAGAAATAGAGCTTAATAAATCTAGTTTCCTTCCCAGGTAGATTAGACACAGACTTCAATAAAAAAAAATAAAAATTAGGCGGGAGACCAATAAAAGCTACTAAGGGCAAAAGTTAGATATTTTTTTTAATAATAAATCCATGTCTCACTAATCTGCCAGGGAAAGTCAGGTTGCAAATTTAGAGAGTGATCCTGGAGATAAAATGACAGTTGAAATTCAAAGTTAATCTACTGTATAACATAAAATATAAGGTATATAAGAATCTTAGTTTTAATAAATAATGATGGACTTTAAGTAAAAGATCTTGCATTTAAACACACTTAACTTTAAAGCACTAGTTCCCTGGGTAGTACTCCAAAAGTAAATTAGATACTGATTGATATTAAAAAAGAAATGGGAAAACATAGAAAAATCATTAAAAGGCCTCTACAAATACGTGGTATGTCCAGACTTTGTATATTCATTGTAACTGCTCACTTGCCTTCGAAACAGATATAACAACAGTAACTAAGAGGGATTATCACTGAGGTCTAAATACACTCTGGAAAAGTAAATGGAAATGATTACACAAGAAAATAGTTTTGAACACAGCACATTATTGCATTCTGAAATTAACTACCCCTTAATTTTAGGCATGTTAAAAGACAAATTGATTTTAAAAGGAATAAGAAATTCTCAGAGGACACATAAGCTGAATGCAGTGGTCTGAGTTCAGTTTTTTTCCATGGGACATTCCTAAATTGCTTACTTCTGGAAGTTTAGAGGGGAAATATGTGGGAATAATCACTATGGACTAACTTCTCATATGCTTTTTATTTCTTCTGGAGAGACTAACACTTTGAGACAGATCCACTAGACATTAAGGTAGTAAACCTAACAGCCAGTGAGTTATGTCATAGCTCCCAGTCTCCTTGCTGTGGAAACGAGGGCTATGGCTTCAGTTTTTAGTTAAAATTTAGTTTCCAAGCCTGCAGTAAGAAGACTAGCAGTTCTAAAAATATCAGTTGTATCCAAGTGTTTTCAAAATTTTCAGCCTCCCTGTCATGGCTTTCATTTACCTAGTGATTACCAAAAGAGAACTTTCTCTTGGAGTTGCCATACAAACCTAGAGATCCAAATTCTCTGTTAATAAAAAGCTGAACTGTTTTGTTTTCCTCTGGAATTAAAATCACCCTGGATGGGGAAGCAAAATTCAAGACTCCATGTGGTTCATCACTAGCTTCTACTGTCAGAACAGCTTCATATCCTTGACTATCCAAAACAGCAGCACCTGAAGAAGAAACTCCTGCAAAAGAATCAATGGACTACAGTGAATAATGTGTTATGCAACTGACTTTTGTGTTCTATTAATGCTTTTACTACATTCAAGTGTCAGTCAGTAAACTGCACATAAAATTAAACCAAACAGATGAAGTGCTCACTGAAGTTTATGGATGGTGGAGAATGTATATATATTTACAGACTATAACAAATACATTCAATCACAGCAGACATTGCATGGACACCAAGAGTAGAGCGACAAAAAGGTATTAAGAAATAAGAAAACTTAATGGGCCAGTGCCAAATATCAACATCCCTAAATTTCCTCTACTGCAAAAGGAAAAATAAAGTTTTCCCTGGAATTAACTCCAAAAGTTAAAATTATCTTCATCTTCTCATTCCATGAAGAAATTACTCCCTTTTTCAAGTGTTGCCTTGATTAATAATTGTTGGTGTACTAATTTACGTTTATCCTAATGGATTACAGAGTCAACAAACTCAGTTGGTTAGAGCGTGGTGCTGATAACACCAAGTTCGCGGGTTCGATTCCCGTGCAGTCCCCATGTGCTGCCTGATCTAGTTGAGAGGCGTCCCTGCCCATGACAGGGAGGTTGGGTTAAATGATCTCTGAGGTCCCTTCCAGTCTAGGCTATTCTATGAAATAATTCCAGAAATAGAAGCAATCCATGTCCAGTCAGTGTGGTGGTTAGATATTAATTTCATTTTATCAGAGGGTATTTCAGAAGGGATAGAGTTTCATGCTTCTTTTCTCATCGTAGTATGAATGGCAGGAATAAAATATTCTGACCTCCTTGAACCCAGAACAGAAAGTTAGTCTGCAGCATGACAAGATGAAAATATCTGCTACTCCATGGTGACCATATCCAGAACACAGCAGTAAGCTCAAGTTTGTATTCAGTTGAAGGGAAGCAAATAATCACTGAATTAAACAGAGTTAAACCAGGTTTAAAACCAGTTTAGGAAAACTGCAAAGCCACTGTGGAGTTTGTATATATATACATATATATACGTGTGTGTATATACATACACACATAAGGATTCAGCCTGTTTCAATAAAACATGAATGAACTTTGCATAGTTTACACCAGCTGCAGTACACTTAGTCCTACACTGCCAAAATGGATTAACACATATGAAAATATTATGCTACTAAATGCCAGTTTTAAGGTACAGCAGTTCTGTGTTACCTTCTGTTTTGATGTTGTACAGGATGATCCGGTATTCTTCTTTCTCTTCAGGAATATGGTCATCCAGCAAGTGAACATACAAGGTTGTATTCAATGTCTCCTGTTCATTTTATTGATAAATTGATTAGTTATTATTGTACAAAACACAAGTGATACCATTGTATCGTGTATTTTAAAGAGCACCTTTCAGAAATGAAAAATCAAGGTATCAAAAGCTATAAATTCCCTCCAGATTAGAAAATTAGGAGTAAAAGAACAAACAAATAATCATATAAAGAAACTAAGACTCCTATGAAAGCACACAAATATTCTCAAGCTCAGTCTTAACTACAGTATTCTCCTGTAACCACTAGATTTGCTTACGGACTTACCTCAGGGAAAAAAAGGATTCCAGAATAGTTTTCAAAATTTTGTTTTACATTATGCCCAGCAATCTTCCATTCAATGGTAACATTTCCCAGTCCTGGGGCAGTTCTTACGATATGGAATTGCAGTTGTTCTCCTACAAACAAAGAATAAGGTCCCCATGTGTTGCCTGATCTAGTTGACAGGCGTCCCTGCCCATGACAGGGAGGCTGGACTAGATGATCTCTAAGGTCCCTTCCAGCCTAGGCCAGTCTAGGATTCTAAGATGCAGTGTTTCAGGGATTCCTTTACTACCTAACAATTATAAAATTGAGAAGCCAGAAACATGCATTACAATTAAAATAAATGTTCTGAAAGACATTAATACATTTAATAGTGAGTTTCACAGTAAGTATGCAACACATTTGATTTTAATACTGAAACAAAAGCCCCAAATCTAAACTCCTTCCTCCTGGGGTTTTCTGGTTTTAGCTCATTCTTGGAAAGAATTTCCAGGAACATGGTACAGATGAATAATTTAAAAAGTTAATGCCCTTAAAAACATGCACAAACAGAAGGGCAATATCTGTCTGTGAATTACACAAAATATTAAATTCTGTATGTACAAATTAGAATAGCTTATAGATTTTCCTAACATTTGCAGTGTCCTGTCACTTTGCAGAGTGCACACAGAAAAATGTTTGTAATCACATGCAATCGCATTTATGTGAGTTTAAGCTTATAAATAGCATCTCTATTGGAAATCACAAAAAAAATGTTAATTTTATTAATTTATAATTTAAAAAACAATTTTAAACTAAACCATTAATATTTAGTAATTTATAATGTCAATGTTTAATAATTTCTTATAATTTCTAGGATAAACATTACCAATTGATAAAGCGTATCTATAGGAAGCGGTTATGATATTTTTCACATCTACAACAGCTAACCCAATGGGCACTTAAAAAAAGAAAAATTCCTTACATTTTTTTTAAAAAATAACAAAAATTATATTTTAAGATAATATTAATTCTTAGATAAATTGATAAAATTTATATTGTTTATCTAATCTTAAATATTTGAAATATGCCCGTGTGAAGTCATCATGTTGTATCAATACAAAATACATCAGCAGGTAAAATCAGTAATATTATGCAATACACTCACATTATAGGACAGATGGTTATTTATAATACATAAGTGTATTGCATCCACATGTCAAGACCATTATTCAGGTGTGTGCAGTTTAAGTTTGTCAGTACATACAGTGTTGCATTGGCTTTCAAAGACATTGAAGTATTCAGAAATTTGCAACACAGAGATGTTTGGAAATAATAATACATGAGATTTCTTTTGCTAAAGGGATGAAGGAAACCAAACAAAAAATTATCAAAATGTATTTTACTGATGCATACCGCTACCAATGCATACTGCTACTGCAGTTCACTTTCCTGCCTGTCTCTGCCTTTACTAAATTGCCATCCTTGCCCTCAATAAGTTGATAAATAATATACACAGGTGAAAATCATACAGAATTTCTTGACATAAATTGTTCAGCAATACAATAAATATAAAAATAATCTTTGGGGTTATGTCTGATAAATTTTGTTTTCAGAATAAGAAAAAATCGATACTGAAACTGAAATACAAACATTGAAATAATCTAGAGATTTTAGCTCATTCTTTGAGGGTTTTTATATCAAAGGAAATTAGTTTAATTGGCTTTTCTTGCTGCAGGACAACACATTACTTTTCACAGCCTAGAGGGATTGTAACCAAGACTTTTCCAAACAATAGCAGAGTAGTTCAGCTTCAAATGGACAGCATTTGCTAGCATGCTATGAATAACATTTAACCAACAGAAAGTATTCGAGGTCAACACAACCTTTGGGAATGAGACAGTTTGTGCTCTTTTTAGCCTGTCAGATTGCAGCTGGCTTGGCAGGAGGATCAGAACTGCTAACATGGAGGAAGAAGGGATGAAAACCAGGCACACACTTGCCCAGAATTGCACAAACCATATCTAGATCAAAAGTAAAACTTTATGATGCCTTTTCACTTCTGGAAAAAAAACAAAAAACCAAACACCCCTCCCCGAAAAAACACCCACGACCCCCCAAAAATCCAAACACCACAGAGCACAGACCTTTTCCCTCAAGTAGAAGATACAATTCCTGGACAGGAAATTTCTGTTTTGTCAGTTTTTCCTGCCCATCAGTTTACAAGTCAGAGAAATATGATACTGCAATGCATTGAGATTCCAGAAAAGGCTGCTAAAAGCAATCCCCATTAGTACTGTTATTATACTACGCAAAATCACATCCACCCTTAGATTGAACACAAAACATGCTCTTTTAATGCACCAGTAAAAGCATTTGGTCCATAACAAAATACTATTAGTCTTTCTCAAATCACATGACTGAGTGATGAGAGCAAGATTGTTACATTCCTAAATATGCTACTATAAAAAAGTATAAACAGAAAACTTTGAAACTGCAGGTTTAAAATTTAAAAAAAAAATAAAGCAGTGTCTGTGGTAATATTTTCTAGATTAAAAGTGAGTTGTAAGCCCCTGAGAGTTGTGGTTTCCTTAGGACTACTAATAGGAGTGTACGATGGGAGTTACATACAGTTCTGGAATACAGTATAAGTGGAGATGTTAAGAAATGCTAAAAGGAGATTTGAAATGAAATACCAATAGAAGAAAGGTGTGATCTTCATTAAAAAAAGTAAAGCAGAGATGATAATATATAAAGTAGTTTTGGGAATAGTGTACTCATGCCTTCCATACATTTCATTTAAGTGCTGTGTTTGAAAGAGTTAAAAATTCAAAGAAATACAATGCCAAGTGTGTGATTATTCTCTGCTCATTGCCATTCTCCGAACAGTGATACAAACAATTTCTGTTAGTCAATATCAACAGAAAGCACAGAGATGGAAGCCAATGTCAAACAGAGCGTGGTCAACAACAAGAACCCACCTTCACGACCAATAACAGATCTTGAGGCTGTCTGGAAGCTAATGATTCCTGCCACATTGTCACTTGCCAGAATAATCACCGTGACAGTGTCAAAACTGGGCAGAATCCGACTCCCTCCTTCAGTATGGACCAGGCTGATTATGATACTTTCATCATCCTCTGGCTCCGGATCATCTAAAATTGTCAGAGTAACCATCTTCTTTGTTTCCCCTACATGGAGAAGAAAATATACATATGTATGTGTGAACATGGAAATCACCTTTTAAAAAACTTAATCATCTCCTTGTGTAGGCACTAAAATACAAAAAGGGACATGAAGTAGATTCATTTAGTTATTTACCTGTCTAGAAGTTACCAAATGTCATTATGAAGTTTTATTCAATTATTATTGAAAAACTACAATAAAGCAATGTAATTATCAAATTATTAATTACATTACATAGAAATTAACAAAGCAGGCATCATTTCTGAATTTCTAGAATTCATTGTTTGCATTATGAACTTTCTGTTTTTCAAATTTAATTTATAAAAGGGGAATATAATTTTTGTAAAAAAATATAAGTTTATGATTATTATGATTAAAAAAATCATAGGTTCTCCGAAGAACCATATACATAGGTGTGTACACACAGTTTGAATATATTTACGGGGCCAGTAAATGCATTAAAATGGGATGTCATTGTATTAGTTACATGTTTTCTGGATTATCAGAGGATGAAGAATGATAACGTAAACAACGAACAAGATCAATTACCAGTCTCTATAACCCACTATAATCTACAGCACAATCCTGTTGCTCAGTGCATGTGGGTAGCATGTCTTATGTTTATGAGAATGTCAGTTTACAAGATAGACATATTTCTTGCTATTTTATCTTTACAAATATTTTGAAAATAGCTTTTACTAAACTTATAACAAACTACTAATGTAACTACATGTCAGCCTCAGAATCATTGCAGGCAACCCTTCTCTCGAGTTCAGACAATTTAGCAAGCCAGCTAGCGCACTAGAGTCTACTACATGCCCATAAATTGCTTTCACAATAATGGCTCAGCCAATTCAGACTTTGAAAATATAAAATATATCTGTCAAAATACGTGGTACTTAAGAAATGTAGGCCATTGACTAGTTTGTCCTGTTTGCAATTTTTGTTTAATGCACTGTTGTTGTTGTTATGTTGTATGAAATCAACATAATCTCAGAATCTTAATACAGATTTCATAAAAAACTAGTACTGTAATGATTTAAAGACTAGTTTGGCCTGATTCTCTTTTTCATCTTTCCTTGATATAACAGCTACCTTCAGCATTATTATTCTTTATTTATTTGGGAAAAAGGTAATATTTATAATGCATAGTGGAATATTCCTTTAAAACTAATTAGATATTTGCACTTTTTAGCTTTTTCATTTTTTACTACCAGCATCATTTTTCTGCAACATAATACTGTATGCTAATGCACTACATCCTTTTGAATACATATCCTGAGTATTCAGGGAGCTTTAGCCTAAGAATAAGACATCACTTATCAAAACACCCAGTCAACTGAGTGCTTGTCAGGTTATTTTTGATTTTCTTTAGTTTTACAAAACAGAAGCTTGCCTCACCTTCAGCGAACACCAGAATCTCACCAACGCCTACAAAGTCCAAGTTGGGGGTTGCAGTTCCCCCAACCACACGCCATTCCACTGTCACCTGCCCCAAGCTGCCTTCTGTCCTGTGGATCATCAGCTGCACGTTGGTCTGAGGACGTTCTTCCACTTCGATATACAGACCTTCCTCTGCGGCGTTGGGACCTACGCTGTAGATCTTAAACACCCCAAACGCGTCTCCGTTCATCATTATGATAACCGTGGAAGTATTTGGCTGCCCTAGGGTTGGCTGGTTTTTCAAGCTGGCTGAGGTGTTCATTAGCTCAACTTTCAAAAGGGATATTGTGAATTTCTCATCCAGCTCTGGCAGGCTATCAGGGAGGATGGTAACCGTGAGATTTGCAAACTCTTCTCCCTCCTGCATTAGGGCTCGTTGCCTTGTGATGGATTCATAATCGCTGCCAGCAATGGCTTGTGCGCTGAAGAGAGCGGATGCACTGGTGATGTTCTTCTTGTAGGTCCAGAACCCTGAAGCGTTAGTTAACGGGCTGATCTCTGATGTCAGCCAAAGGCAGAGAGGAATCTCAGAGGCACTGGAATATGTAAAGGCTGAACAGGCTTGTTCTTTTAGGCACTGAGTTGCACAGGCATACAGTGGGTCGCTTGCTGCTGACACCTTCACTCTGGTCTGGGATGGCTGGTCAGAAATTCCTTGCACAGGAGACTCATAATAGGTCAGGATATCCTGACCTTGCTTGACAGCCAAAGCTACGACATCAGTCTCAGAAGTGCAGTAAAATATCTGCAGCTGACCAAACCTTCCCCCACTAAAAGACATCGAAATAAAAAAGTAGTGTTAGTTGGTAAAGTTTTTCTGATATTCTGTATGCTTCTGAGTTAAGAATAAAAGCGAATAAAATCAACTGGCCTTGTCTGAATTGCTGAAAAATTCCAGATAGATAATTCAAGTGGGTTGCCTTGATGCTAGTACCAGAATAACTGCATTTTTGGGTTTGGTGGTGTTGGGGTTTTTTTGTGAATAGCAGGTTTGATCATGTATAGCTTATGTAGCATTCTGTTAAGAATAGATGTTTCCAAACATTTGTTTCTAGGAATTATCTTAGCCTTCTTAGGGCTTGCAAGGAAGAAAAAGCCTGCGTTGCCCAACATTGTCATCTTTTCTCCTAGGTGTCCTCAGGATATCGTATCACATGCATAAATCCTTTACTTGTTTGGGTTGGCCCATTTTGTCCTAGAGTTCATATCACAGAAGTGGGCTATTGTGCATCTTTAAATGATTTGATGACTAAATAAGCAAAATGAAACTTCAAGTACACTGTGTATGTTAGGTTTATACATTACAATGTGTATTACTATTAAGTACTTTATGTACACTTCAAATAAGCAGACATCTAGTTTAAAAAGTCATTTCATTTACTGAAGAAATAATCAACAAATTCTATCCAAAATTATTTTAAGTAAAAGTATTCTTTCTATTAAACTTTTAGTCTTCAAATTATTTAATTATGCATCTGGAATTACTTGGATTTGACATTTTTTCTTTCTTTCTTTCCTCTACCTTATTCTACTGACAAATAGGAATGAAATATGAAATGAAAATGTGTTGAGCTGGCAGATCAAGAAATTGATGCAAATACTTATACAGGAGGAATATGACATTTGAAGTTATAGTGAAGATTAAAAACAGAAAGAAAAAAAGATATAAATAAAGCAAACATTATACAAACCTTCGCCTGACTGTTACATTTGCAAGAAAATTTCTTTCTAGCGGCTCTTGAATTCGATATAAGGGTTGATGAAAGAAAACTGTGCCATAAGGATTATCATTGGCAGGTATTATAATTTTTGCCACGCCATCTAACCCAATAGCACCACCATTGGAGGCCTGAGTTAATTCTACATGGACGATCTCAAAAAGAAAAAAAAAAAGAAAAACAAATAATGCAGCTAAATAATCATTTTGGCACTTCTAACAATAATCACAAGCAAAGTAAAATCTGAACTTCTTGCATCTTCCTGCCAGAACATTCCTTGTTCTTCTTTGTACTTCTAGAACAAGTTAAAACTCTTAATACTAATCAAGAAAGATGTGAGCTGCTTTACTTACTTCCTCTATTTCTGGAACATCATCGGCCAGGATTTCCAACACCAACATCTGAATGGCTTCCCCGGGGGCAAAAGTAATATTGCCTGAGGCGACCTGCAAGTCAGCGTTGGCGGGATGCTCATTAATAGTAGCAACCCACTGAAGAGTAACATTACCCAGTGTCCCAGCATTGCGGATTATTGGCAGGTTTATGGTTACAGATCCAAATTCAGGCTCCTCCACAGTGAACTCGGTAATCTGAAAAACTGAAGCACAGCACAGACAAATGTATTTCAGTCACAATGAAACCGAAAGTCAATATATCGACTCCCGAAGTATATAGCTTTATTTCACCTGATTGTATTTCCTTGAACAGGTAAACGATGTTTATTTGGGTTTAAACTTGAAAGTTAACTTCCACATGAAAATTAAGTCTTCATCCAAAAATTTTATTCCAATGTACCCATTGTTGGAAGCTAACCATTTCTAAGCTCTTAGAAGACAATTTCATAATTATTCCTAGCAAGACAGCCCTTTAGCAGCTTTCATGTAATTTACTGAAGAAATAATCAACAAATTCTATCCAAAATTGTTTTAAGTAAAAGTTCTCTTTCTATCAAACTTTTAGTCTTCAAATTAATTAATTATGGATCTGGAATTATTTGGCTTTGACTTTTTTTCTTTCTTTCTTTCCTCCACCTTCTTCTACTGACCTACTGAATTAAGTAGGATACTGGAGGGAGAAAAGGGTAAGTCAGAGGAAAAGGCAGAAACAAATAGAGTGAAAAAGCCCCACAGCAAACAAAAAAAATACAAATTTCTAAAATATCACTAAATTTTTGGAATCACCACAACCCGTCTCAAGACCTGTGTAATGGAGCTAACTTTAGAAAGTACATGATTCATTTTATTGATAGTAACAGGCAGAAGAAAAATTGAAGTACTCAACAGAAATTAAGAGAATGCAATTTAATTTCTCTTCATATTTTCCAATTTTCCCAGATTTTTACATCTGCTTTGGCTGATTATCAAGTAAAACAAAGGTATCAAAATCTTTACACCACAGGTATTAGAGTGCCAATTTTGGTTTAAACTATTGCAGAAACTCAGCACTTAAATAAAAAATAAAAAAGTAAAATAAGATCCATCTATCTTTATTGTGAGATTCCAAAATCTTGCTATATCTACTGACTAATATGTTTTTGTTATATTAAAGCACCATTACTCCTTAATTACAGGTTTTAATGGTTTATCTTATCTTTCCCTTTACTGCCTTCATCCAGGCTTCCTCTTTCTCTTCTGAAAGTTTTTATTCAGTTGCCAAGTAACAGCTCATCCACAAATCTGCAGTAAAAATGTGAACAGAAGAGAGAAAATGTGCATTTACCAAAGGATCCAAATGGGTCATCAGAAGCCTCAATGGTTATGACTGCCTTGGTCAAAGATCCAAGCAAGGCTCCTCCTGTTGTTTGATTCAGCAGCTGAACATAAAATGACTCCTCAACTTCAGGATTGATATCATTAATTATATAGATTGGCACAGCTTTACTTGTTTCCCCTTCTAGTAAGACAACATCTGACGAGGCTACACTGTAGTCCTCACCTAGATTTGCAGATGAAAAAAAGCCACAAAACAATAAAAACCTCATAATATTAAGGCATTATGGTTCACCATATCGAACATCATCAGTAATACTTATCTTTTTGCTTACACATGCATTCCTCCATGTTTTTATGAGGTTTTTGCTTTATCAGCAGACACAGACAACAGTGTCTTTTATTTCCCACTGCCCTTTAGATATCTGGACAGATTAAAGTAAAAGTTGCCTTGACCAAAACAGACTTTGCACTGTTAGGCCAAGAGGTAGCTACAAAAAGACCATTATTGTCTTCTGCTGACGAGGTCACACTACCAAGAATTTTTCTGTCTTTGATTTCTAATTGCTCTCTGGCTTTTAAGAGATAAAAGTGAACAGATGCACCTTTGTCAAAGTAGATTTCAGCAATGCATGCATTTTGTGCGTGGACCTCAGTTTAGCCAAACTTTTCCCCAAGAATGTCTAGAGATGAAAAACTGTGACACACTAGATAATGACTCTGCTTCAGAAACTAACTGAAAGTACACTCTGAAATCAATCTAGCTACATACTTCTTTAAAAAAGTCTGAAACATAAAAAGGAAACAAAAATACCAGTTCTCAGAGCATGTACCACCCCATCTACTCCGTTTTGGACACAGCTGAAATACAGTGGGTTTCATTTATAACTCAGTGGATTTGACCCTGCACATTTTATAAGTTTGCTCCTTTCTTTTATGTACCTTCTCTACAACAGGGACCAACTGAAGAACATAATCTTCCTGTTCTAGAAATTCAAGTCTGCTTGACTTGAATTCTTCACTTGGTTGTGAATGGTGTTTGGATATTTGTTTTATTGCTGGGTCCCCAGCTCTCAATTGCTCTCCAAATACCTAAACAATGCATGGCAGATTTAAATATGTACACAGTATTAAATAGTAGCTACATATCCTACTACAGTACCTTCTATTTTTATTTATTTTCTTTCCTTCACTCATTTTTATTGCCAGATTCTTCAGTGATGATGCCTCAGAGCTTCCTAAAAGCTGATGTAGGATATCTCCCATAGGGCCTGGATCCCTACTTGCTAAGCAGAGTCAATACATATCTCACAATTTTTTTAAAAAAAAAAACCAACTTGTTATACAATAGTGCATTCAATACACACTTCTATGCTTTGACCGCTCTTTCAACTTTAACGGAGATCACATACTTCTGCTATTCTGATTTCTTACCAGCTGTTGCAGTTATTGGCATAGCTTTAAATTTCACAGAAACATCTGCAAATATCCCCCCAGTTCTGGTAACATTAATGATTGGTCCAACATAATTTTCAGCAACTCGCACAGTTGAAGCTGAAAGCTGAAGTGTTCCAAAAGCATCATCATTGGCATTGATAATTACATGAGCTATTGTCTCGCCCACTAATCCAAGACGAGGAGAATTTACAACTGAAACGTAAAGAAAACTTAATGAGCAGGTGCCTGAGACGCTTGCTTTCTATGGCTATAGAATTCATAGACATACATGTGAGTCTAGTGGTCATTTGCAGCCAGCTTTCTACAAAGTTATCATTTTTAGAAATGGATAAAATATAACTACAAACTGGACCACCATATTTTGGGTGTTTGTATTAAATTACAGCAGAAACCCCCTGATTTTTAATAACTTAATATTCTACTTTGTTGCATACATGCTACCATTTTTTTGGTGAGGTGAGGTATTGTGAAATTATTTATTTACTTATTTATTTGCCCATAAGGCCTGTAGTAAGAACAATACAGTTCAGAAGAATTTAATTTTTACACTTGCTATGTTGAAATATAATTAAGATTTCAACTTCCTAGCAGAACTGTATTTGAAGTTTCCCTTAACATCGAGATTAATTTGGGGTGGGGGCAGCAATTAGACACACCAAGAAGCTTTGAAGCACAAATCAGGCTCTAATGACTTCAATTAATCTGAATGAAGGATGAAGCAAATATTATCTTCACTAAAAAAGTGACATGTTAATTCTACATCATTTTATTTTTAAGACTTTTTGCCTTTCAAAAAGCAAAATTAGCTTAGTTATTTCCTAATGTTTATAACCTAATAATAGTTATATCTGAATATTTATATGCTAATAGCAGTTACAACCTAATATTCCTAAACTTTACAGAAACAATACTAGATGAACAAGTACTAGTGCACAGAAACAACACTGTAACGTATTTGGCCTCAAATATCTTGGATAAGGTGATGCAAAAGCAATAAAGAAATGCTCATCCAACCTTGATAAAATACTGCACATGGACGTGCTGGAGCATGTCCAGAGAAGGGCCACGAGGATGCTCAGAGGGCTGGAGCACCTCTCCTGTGCAGACAGACTGAGAGTTGGGGCTGTTCAGTCTGCAGAAAAGAAGGCTCCGAAGAGACCTTATTGTGGCTTCCAGTATCTCAAGGGGGCTACAAGAAAGCTGGGGAGGGTCTTGTTAGGATGTCAGGCAGTGACAGGACTAGAGGGAATGGACTGAAGCCAGAGATGGGTTGGTTCAGGTTGGACGTGAGGAAGAAGTTCTTCCCCATGAGGGTGGTGAGACCCTGGCACAGGTTGCCCAGAGAGGGGGTGGCAGCCCCATCCCTGGGAGTTTTTAAGGCCAGGCTGGATGGGGCTCTGGGCAGCTTGATCTAGTGGGGATGTCCCTGCCCGCAGCAGGGAGTTGGAACTAGATGATCTTTAAGGTCCCTTCCAACCCTGACAATTCTGGGATTCAGTGAAGAAAATATATGCCAAGAGCACCTAAGGCAGGTAGCTCAGAGATTTCTTAACTGTACGGAGTCTGGTAGAGGTAAAAAGCCTAGGTACGTAGTCTGTGGCATTTCACCCTATTAAATATAAATACTAGCCTTCACTTTTAATTTGTACGATCTATAGATGTAAGATACTTACTTGGCCGATCCTGTACTTTCTCAATCAGAGCAATACTGCTTAACTCCACAAAAACGGATTCTGACCTCTCAGGATCATCATCATCCAAGACAGGCAAAGATATCGTGGCCTCACTTTCGTTGGCTGTGAAGATAATATAACCTGTAACGGGTATATAATCTTTTCCCTCTTTTGCTCGAACAACATCAGGTGGAAGAAAAGGTGGCTTTTCACCATCGCCCATAGTTCTGTATGTCACTATCACTGTACCAAGGAGACCACCACGCCGTATTATTGTCAGGGAGATATTTTTTGTTTCTTCCTCAACTTTTATTGGTCTGTTTCGCTCAGAAAAGACGAAGAGTCCATATGGGTCATCATTAGCTAAAATAGTTAACGTTGCATTTGTATGGTTTCCAAGGCGACCGCTGGAGACTTTGGTGATCAAAACTGAAAACACTTTATCCAATTCAGGAACTTCATCAGGAGAAACCTGTACTGTAATATTTTCTCTCACTTGGCCAACATGAAATGTCACATTCCCATCTGTAGAGATCAGGTCTTTGGTAAGGTCATCAACTATGGTCCAGTGCAGGGTCACCTGAGACAAGGCGCCATGTGTCCTCACAACCTAAGTAAAAATTATAAAGATCTGCATATTTGTTGAGCAAGAAAAACACAAAAATATGAGATGAAATTAAGCAAAGACATTGACATGACAGGTTAGAAATAATTTATTTTTTTTAAAAAAGTGCAATCTTTCTTATCTCAGCTTTGCTGCATTTGTTGCATCATCATTATTATTTTAAGATAGCAGTACCTCTAATGTAAACAAGAAGAAGCAATTTTAAACCTATGGATATTGTTATTACATCATTTTAGCTTCAAGATGAGTGACACTAGAAAGTGCAGTAAGAAATTGCAAAACAGATGTGCATGATAAAGTGATTGTAAAACTTAACAGACCTAAAGCAAAGACATCACAGAATGTTCCATAAGAACAGAAATTGGAGAGGACTGCAGGGAAATAGAGCTTTCTAACCTGCAGCACAACATTGCTGTCTCCATCTTCAGGCTCAGTTCCATTTACCGAGAGTGACTCAGCACTGAACTCAAACACACCATGAGCATCATCAGAAGCCTCAATAGTCACAAGGATGTGGGATGCGATGCCCAAGCTAGCTGTTAAGTGCAAGTTCCAAAAAGGGTTATTCTTTCTAACACCTTTTCTTTCATGAAAGAAAACAGCTAAAGAAGTACGGTGTCAGAAATACACAGGAGAGCCTGACTCAAGTATCTGTGCTGTTTTCTCTTTGGTTTTTCAAAATTTATGATAAATGTTCACATGGATAAGGAACTGACTTTCAGTAATGCGGCCCTGTTCTTATGACTATGGTGAAGGGACGAGGGGTGGATTGTATGCAAATTGTGTAGTCTTTTTTGGTGTTGTGATGAAGGGTTTTTTTCAGATTTTGGAGTCAGGAATCTGTTTTTCTTTCTCAATGATAATATTATGTGATGAACGTAGTTTTTAATAATAAGTTCTATGGAACTCCACAACAAAAATAAAAAGTAATAAATACTTATGTTTTAAGACAGAATGGGAAAAAAGTTACAGGTTTAATGAATGAAAATGGAGCAGAATTTAGTATGGTGGGGAGCTATATGGTAAACGACTGCGTAGAGCCGATAGGCCAGATGAATGCAGGTCTCATCCTAACATGAGCTGGAATAAAAAACAAATTAGAAAACAAGCCTAGTAAATCCTACTACTAAAAAAATTGTCTGGGATGACATAACTTGGTGCTCAAAGAGAGCTTGGCGCTTAAGGAAATCATTTCTGGAAACAAAGTAAAGGAATCAGCATTTCAAAAAAAAAAACACCAGGAAACTCCCCACAAGTGGTTAAATCGCAGAATTACTCACAGATTCAAACTGAAATCCTTTGCATTTACAAATGAAACTGAAAATCAGGTTATCACAGAGGAATAAATTATTCAATCTGGACAATATGTTTTTAGAGTTTAATTCGAGGTTCTATATGATTAAGGATTGCCCTTAGACTTTATGTTATTCCTGCATCTAGTATTTTTCTCAGTACTGTTATATTTTTTTTCCATATGTCATGATATACACACAAACTTAAAGAGAAGAAACAAAAATCAATTGAAATATTCCTTTAAAAAATCTAGCACAGCTTATTTAGGTTTTGCAGGCACAAAATCATAGTATTGTAAAGAACGGATTAAAGCACAAAATCAGGTAATTTTAAAATTACCTTCAATTTAAAAAGTGTCTTTGCTTTTTGCTCTCCAGAAAATTTCACAATTTTCAAGCAAAACTAATTTTGCAAACTGCACTTCTAATTACTATATTGTGTTTTACAATAACATAGTTCTAGTGGTACAGAGGCTGTTATTTTGTTACACCAAACAGTGAGTGCTATTGAAATTACGCCTAAATTAAAACGGAGAAGAATGTTTTGACAGAACTTTATAATAAATCTAAATTAATCACCTGTAACTGCAAGCAGAGCAACAGTATAACAAATTGTGTCAGTACAGTAATTTATGAGGAATATTCCAGATAGCAATTAAAAATAAGATTAATCAAAAATTCTTACCATGTTGATGGGTAGTTGGAAAGAAGAAATCCATGTTCCCATCACCACTACCACTGCCATCATTTCTAAAGAGCTCAGCAACTTTAAGATGACAGACATATAGATATATACACATATATACATTTATACATAAAGAGAAAGCAGAAAGTAATTTAAACATTTCTGGACAACACAAAAAGAGAGGGAAGTATTCTAGGAAGACGTCAATTTGGAATATGAAATTTTATAGGATTTCTGAAAAAAGGCAGAAGTACTATACATGCCATCTCTTATTTAATTTATGATATTGGAAATAGCAGTGGGAGGTCTGAAGGAAAGAAAGCACATACACCTCTGTTTTCTCTTTTCTTTCCTTCCCTCTCTGTATACCTTTTTTGTGTTTCCCCTTTCTCAATCCTAAATGAGATCTGTCATGGAGAACTTAGAAATGTGGAAAAAAAACCACGGGCTAAAACCTCCCCAAAACAATTCTAATATTTTCTTACCCTGAAAAAATGTCCAAAAGTTGCAAACAAACTGCAGAAAGCTTAACAAAATTAAGTTTTGGGCTTGCAATGGTGTTGGAAAGGCCAAAAAGAGCGTTTGTGTTAAGAGAGTATCTCCCTAGTGAATTACTAAACTTGGCCGTAAGTTTTCTGACAAAATAAAAAAGCTAAAAAGCTTTAAAAGTTTTTTTTTAAAAAAAACACCCACAACTGTTCAACCAACAAATCCACACGCATGGAAGTCTAAAGTTCGTATCACAAGAATCACTATGTTGCACCATAGACATTCAAAGTAATATGGTACAGCTTCCCAGAAGGCGTCACGCTTGCATTTCTGGATGACTTAAAAAAAATTACATCAGTTAAGAAGTCTCTTTTTAGCTGCCAACATTGATAATTATTTTTTTTTCCTGCAAGCAGCTTAACAATCTTCCTTAAAATCTTCTCCAGTGGAAACAAATACTGTAAGGGCCAAGTGGTTTTATGTGGCAGGAGCACTGATGCTCGTTTTCCCTTGTGAGGCTAACATCTCACACTCCACGGGGTGTTTTTCTTGTTCTTCCACAGAGCTACCAGCTACCTTTCCAGCTCAGCCAAACTCCCCACAACAAGGTCTCTCAACACTCACAGTCTCCTAGTGCTATAATCCAGCTGAATAAACTACAAGCCAGTGTATCGTTATTCCTCTCATCTCACTGAAGTAGCAGATAAAAAGCCCACTTTGGTTGGTTTGCCTCATATATTTCATAAATACTGAAAAAATTTTTGAAAAATTAAATTAGTATATTTTTTATATTATTTTAATTCTCATTGCCATCTATAAAAAAACCCACAGCAATTATGTTTAAATGGCCTAATGCATGGTAATTATACACTTTTTTTTGAGTTCCAGTGGTTTCCAACAATGATTAACAAAAATAGCTGAAGAACAGTTCTTTCCTAAGAAAAATGACAGCTCTTTGGGGGATGTGGGAGTTTTTGTTTGATCTTTAGAAATAACATGAAAATAGTACACCTAAGAAAGGTAAGATTTTAATGGATGAGTAGAGGTCATGAAAATACAGCCGATGGTTTGACACATGTGCCTTACCTCCTCCCTCTGGATTCAACAGTTCCACTTTAAAAGTTTTTTCTAATTCAGGAACAGAATTATCAGTGATGTTAACAGTAATGTACTTGTATCTTTCTCCCGGCTGAAACTCCAGCGTGCCCACAACAGCCTGCAATATGAAAGCGCTTCACATTTCTGTTCAGATATGTTTTCATCCATAGGAAAAATAGAAATAGAACCTATTTTTTGATTTTGATTGTCTTTGTCAAACACCTTTTCTTCACTCAAGCTTTCAAAAAATCTGCTGAATCTTTGTCATGAGAAAAAGGCGTCTAAATTCACAGAATTACGAGCATCTCCATTCACATTTTTTCTGTACAAATATCAGTTAGGTAAGCAAACACAGATAGGTACACGTTATTTTGTGGAACACACAAAAATCCTAGTATCTACAAACATAATCTTAACCTGTACGTGCACCTGAACACTCACATAAAGTTTGTTATACTCAGTAGCCATAGAAAATATCCCTTCCTGCTGCACTGAAAATCCTCTTAGGAGGAAAAAATAAACCAGAATCAGAGGCTTTTCCTAGAAAATACTACCTGCTACACAGAAAGGATGTTGTAGTCACAGAATGATGTGTATATTTAACACATTCCACATTCATTTATCACATCACTGTGTAAAACAAAGTGTTTATGTAAAAAGCATCAGAGCTTCATGGGCTAATATACTCAAACTGAAGGCTATCTCCAGGATAAATAATTAATGTCATTAAATTCTAAAATAATTCCACCCCTTGGCAATGTCCATACCTGATAATCCTTAGGACTGAAAGCTGTAAGTGGCACTGTTCTGTATTCCACCAGAACTGTTCCAAGAAGGCCCTGGGCACGAACTACCAGTAATCTGATGTGTCCAACCTCTTCTTTAACAGTAATATGGGGCACAACAGAGACTGGCAGAATCATTCCATCACCTGGATGAGGAGGTGGCCCCACCAAGAACTGTAGTAGACCTGGCAGACAAGAAGTACTATTTGCATGGCTTCTTGCACCAAATTTAAATTATGACAATAAATTGAAACCAAATTATTTATAATATTTATATTTCACATTTCTAAAATTAAAAAACCAGCTACTGATATGCCCTTAGGACTCAATCATACTATTTCCAGGAATGTGCTGTGTATCTTCCCCTCTCTCTCTCATACCCATAGCAGTCTTGATAAAGCCACAGTACAATAATGAAATGAGCTCTTCCCAGAGCTCAACTGATCTCTTCCTCAATATGTCATATTATTGGCTATTTGTTGGCATAATAAGCATGCAGAAATGTCTCTCTTGGTCAAGAATTATCATCTGAGGAAAAGTTGCACAGGTTCAACTACATGCATCCTTTATTTTCTCTCAGAAGAGAATCATCATCCTTTTGGTAAGGGCAGCGTTGATGCCTTATTGTAATATTCTCAAGAATAATCAACTCAGCTTTCACCCTTGTATAAAAATCACTACTTAATCTAGTTAGAGTAGAACACTTGTCATTGTTTTCTTAACTATCAAAGCCAAGTAATGTTTTTATCTGTTGAGTCAGTACTACACAATTATCTGCAACAAGACTGTATCTTCTCCATCTTTGTTACCATATGGATGGTCACTGGCTTTGATGCTGATATCAGTAGTTTCCTTTTCTGGATCTATACTTGCTCCACTGGTAGGAGTTGAGCCTAGTTTTCCATCTCCAGACACTGCAGAGACTAATGTCACACGGAAATATTCATTTAGCTCCGGAATGTCATCATCAATAACATGCAAATTTAAGACCTGGAGAAGGACCAAATCATGGAGAAATCAAACCGTGCAACATACATCACTTAGGAGTTTCATGACCTTGCTTAATTTATCAAGTTCTTTGATTACTCAGTCAGCTGCATCTGCTGGGTAGTTCTGAAAGTAATAAAACAACATTTTTGCTTTCCACATTATTTAATCTAATTGCTAGGATAATATTTTGCTTTTAGAATATGCATTCCAGAAAAAACTTAACCAAGCTGCCAGAGATGGAAGGCATATTTTGTTAAATGCTTCATATTACATAAACACTAAACCAAGCAAGCAATTATTTACTATCTACCTTAACAAAAACATAGTTTAAGTTTTGCATATTGAAAATGAAATCTCTGATAGATTTTAAAATATTGAAGAAATTGTGCTTCTGAAGAAACACTACAGCAATCAAACCAATTTAGAGAGCAAGTAAAGCAAGCTTTTTATGCCATTTGAGATTGCAGATCATACTGTTAACATAACGTGCTCTGCAGTGGCTACCATATTCACCTCAGAAAATCCCAGCTTGATATGTATTGTAACAAACATATAGAAGGTTTAAGTAGTTGACTGTATTTAGAGGAATGGGAATGAGTAGCTGAAAAATATCAATAGAAAGTCTCTTTAGGATATCTCACCTGATAAGCAACTGCCCCTAATCTGTGTCTTAGGGCTGTGCGCATCTATTCCACCATATGTAGACAACAAACCAGACCACTTAGCAGTGGAGAAAAACGGTATATCAGCCCTTTTCTGCCACTAGATAAAACAAATAAGGCCTCATCCATGCTGCCAGAATAGAAAAGCTCTGGAGGCTTTTGCTTTGTATGACAATGTGTAATGCAGCAATATGATTTAATGGAGAATTAAAGCTGAATGAATGGTGATATGAATGAACCATTTTCAGACATCACAAGCTGTTCCCAAGCTCTAATCTCTCACATTGTTTAATTGGGACCAGATCCACAGTTCTAGTGGAGCCACTGGGATCCTCTCAAACAGTGTCAGTGTGTTTCAGCCAGTATATACTGACCTTAGCAGAGCAATAAAGTGAAATCGAGGGCAGAATTTTCTACTAACAATCTACACTTTCTATTTTACAAACGTTAACAGAAAAAACATTAATTTCCTACAGCATTGTGGTCCCATGTGTCTTCTTCAAACAAATGCAAAATCCTTTGCTGTAGGTCAGGATTGAGTTCGTAGAAATAGATTAAGCAAAATACACAGAACATGGCCAGCTGCGGGAGCAAGACACTTGATTACAGTGAACTTTACTGCAGTCTATTAAAATGATGAGGAAATAAATCTGAGTTCTGGAAATCCGAACAAAACTTGATCATTTTCCAATTTCGAAAGTAGCTGGATGCATTATTTCAGCCCAGGACTATCTACTTCATGCATACCTAAACATTAATCTAATATATACATATATGCAAATAATTCTCATATATTATGTGCATTAAAACATATGCTGCACACATGGTGACCCCAAACCAATACACACAGATCTGTAAGTGCCTATCATATCACTTGTTAGCTGTCAGGGGTGCAAAAAACCCTGCCAACATACAACAAAAGCCATGTGAAGGAAACGCATGAAAACCAGCCAAGGATCCTCAGAAGGTGTTTTCCAGTGGGTTTGCAAAGGACAGGATGAATAGTTAATAGGAAGATAGGGTTTACCTCTGATCTCTGCCAAGGAAGAAACGTGATAGTGCCACTGTTGTTAGAAAAATCGGTAACAGAGTAATTAATACCAGTGGAATCAACCTGTGAGATAATGTAATTTATGTATACATGGTCTAGGGCTCCCCTTGTACGCTCCACAACACAGGATATAGTGGAGCCCTCATCGGCAGTCTGGAAGAAAGGAAGAAATAGAAATGTTGTTATTATTGTCAAGGTAAATCAAAGCCATAAATGCAAAAGATGGAATTCTTTAATGCCAGTCATGTTCAGGCAAAAAATGGTGTCATGTTACTTTAAGTGCTTTTGGAGTGGTAGGAAGTTGAACATTATGTTGGTAAGAACAATCCTAGTGAAATTTGGAACAGCTTCTAGTATCTCTTGGGACTATAAAAGCAAGCCAAGAACTATACTCTGTTGTTTGTTTTGGACATCATCTCTTTATCCAACCAACACGTCAAAGACGGAATCAACGTACTTGAAATGTACATATCAAAAACTATTTTTCTGTGTTCATGTAAATGATCTATATTTTCATTAGCAATAATTCAGAGAGAGATTTGGATTGCCCCTTTCCACAACTAGAAACACTATGAAAATAAAACCAAACAAAAAACGAACAAACAGAAGAAACCCAAAACAGATACATCAAAATTAAACTGTATTATCATCATTCAGGAAAAACATTGGAAAATTTTCTGTGCTGCAGTCCACAACTCTCTCTTCACTGAGAGTGTGACTTCAGTGACAACAATTTCACTTACTGAGAACGAAGCAGGTATTGATATGAACCATATATTTTAGAAAAATTATGATCACAAAACTAAAGTAAAAAAATAATTTTGTTTGAAAATTGCAAGAAAGATCAAAGCTCTCTTAAGCATTAGATAAATTTAAGAGGTGCCGTATAACTCAGTGCACATATTACATGTGCCTTCGGTTGCCCAGTAGACAGACATGCACATAAAGCAATTAAACTACTGATAAACAGTGCTCCGTACCTGCATCAGCACTGAGAGCTGTAATACTTCCCTGGCAAAACAGACGTAAGATAAGTGCAGAACAATTAATATGCTGCATAAATTATTAATTTTGCTTCACAGTTGGTTGATGACCTGTGGCATCACGGTATTCTCAGAGGCATTTGAAACTGAAGGAATCTATTATCGTGGCATATGGTAGGCACATAGAAAGGAATCTGAACCTAACTGAAAAACAGTATCACTCAGGCAAGATGGCTACTTTCAAACACATCGTAAGCACTTCAGTTAGAAAGAAGGTAATTAAAAGGTCATGAGAGTTCTTAAACGGGAAAGTATTTTGAAATTTGTTTCCTGAAATAATCCTGTATCAATAGAAGCATATATCATGTCTTTCTCCATCACAACTGATTAAAGAAGTAAAAAAGGGTTATGTTTATTTCAATCCTGCCCCCCAAAAAGTAGGTTTATACCACATATACAGTGGCTACCACCAAAGAACAACTTAATGTTTTTTAAAAAGTAATGTACAGCCAACATCAACTGAATTCACATAAAACATATGCAATTTATGCTTTATGAAAGCAAATGATTGCAGAAAAACACACACACACAAGTCATAGAATCACAGAATCATGGAATAATTCAGGTTGGAAAAGACCCTTGGGATCATCGAGTCCAACCATTAACCTTACCCTACAAGTTCACCCCTAAACCATATCACCCAACACCACATCTAAGCGACACATAAACACATCCAGGGATGGCGACTCAGCCACCTCCCTAGGCAGTCTGTTCCAGTGTCTGACCACTCTTTCCGTGAAGTCATTACATGGCCAGTAATAAAATTCTTTCAGACACATGGCATAAGACAGAATTAATAAAATAAAAATCTTTGTAATAATCCATTATTGAAAAATAGAAAATTAAATCTTCTCTTTTAATTGACAACCTAGACTCAGGTGTGACAGAAGTAGAAGAAAAAAAATGTTCTTCTGGAAAAATTTAAGTCTTTGTCTTCAGTTCATGTAATAAAATCAAGTTTCTTAACAAAAATAATTTTGGGGAATTTAAAAACATCATGTGGCAAATGCCAGTGAGTCTGAGACTATATTAAAAGAAATGACACATTTCCAAATTCCAGAAAAACTCTCCTTAACTACAAAAACTATGTGAAACCAAGGCTCTGCACAGGTCAATTGCTCTGGCCATTAATTTTTCTGTGTGTAGGACTTCAGCTATAATTTTCCTTATGAACACCTTACCTCAGGAATACATGCTCCAGTGAAGCCAAATAAACCATTAGCATTATCACTTTTCTGTATTCTTAATCTTGCTGTGGTATTTTCTTGTGAAATCCGAGCTCCACCACGCACAGAAATGAGCTTTAGGATGAATAATTCTTCTCCTTCTTCCTCTTTGTCATCCTTTGCAGATACAATGAATGATTTATTGGTCTCTCCTTGCCAATATTCCAAATACCCAGAGATGGGGTGGACATCACTCTTTGCAGGAGTTGCATGAAGTTCATAGATTTCTGCTCGTGTTAGTTCACGCTCATAAAGCCTCACATCCTGCATTAGCCCTGTGTACCTACTGCTGCCATTGATTCCTGCTCCAATTCTCATTATTCCTGGACCTGAGAAGGAAATCAGAATTTTCCTCATGTTATTGTATTTCTTGAAGATATTAAATCTGCAGCTGAATAGCTGTAACTGCTAAAAATCAATGGTAAATTGTTTACCATCCCTGCATTAGGAATCGTATTGATCTTGAAATGCAAAATCATGAGGTTCCTTGAGGCTTATCTCAGTGTTGCAAGTAAATTATCACAGGTCAAACAATTCCATCCTAGGCTGTTCAGATTTTTCATCCTCCTAGTTCTAGCAGCACATTGTCACTATTCCTTATTTTAATGAGGCTTGGAAATTTCTCTCTTCCCATTAGAGATTTTTGCAGATCACAACAACCACTGCAATCCCTCTCAGCTTTCGTTTTGCTGAAGTGATCCCATTTTGTGTGTCTCTGCTAGGACAGTGGATCCATCCTGATGATACTAATCATCGCTACGTTAGCTCTTCTGGACACGCTTTTCCCCTAACGCACTGGGAATATGGACTTCAGAAATGCACATCAAATTCCAAATGTTTTTCTGTCTCTAATATTTCTCTGTCTCCAAACAATTATCCTATGCAGCAAATCATGGGATCACAGCTGCCTTTTTCACAAATATATTCAGCTGGTAGCTCACACTCATTCCTGTTGTGCCAAAAGACGCAAATATCTCCTACTTCCAGATGTTTTCTGGTTTTGTCGGAAACTGTGCTCTTGATTGTATGTGCTGGCATACAAATGACACTGAGCATCAGCTCTAGAGATGAGCAACCACAGCAATTGGTAATGGCCTCAGGGCACGAGGAGGAGGAGGATGGTGAGGAAAATGGGGCTACTACACTCACCACTGTGTAGTATCCAATGTGAAATGGAGATTAAATCCTTACCTTATACATGTAGTATCTCCAGACAGAGGATATGCCATCTCCACTAATACAGAAAATTTATGACTCAGCTATACCCTTCTAGCAACAAAAGCATTACTGTATTTCACACATCTCTTTTTCAGAAACTGAGGGGAAAAAATAATTTCTCAGCTACAGTACTGCAAGTCTGATGGAAATTATTAACTGCAGGGGCACTACTTTGTGACAGAGGGCAAACCTATTTCTCAGGCTTCAACCACTGTGAATTTACAGGCATTAAAAAATACTCACTATTAATGAATTGTCCTCTCTATTCTAAGCCTGTATTTGTGTATATATACTCATTTAACATCACTGAATGTTTTTTAGTTCTCTCATTACAAAAAAAAAAAGAGACTGTTCAAGAATTTGCTAAGGTACATGGAGGACAAAGAAGTGATTAAAGACAGTCAGTGTGGTTTTACTGATGGCAAGTCCTGCCTGACCAACCTGGTGGCCTTCTACAATGGCGTGACTGCATTGATGGACAAGGGAAGAGCAATGGATGTCATACGTCTGGATTTCTGCAAGGCCTTTGACACAGTCCCCCACAACATCCTTCTCTCTAAATTGTCGAAGTATGAATTTGACGGGTGGGCTGTTCGGTGGATTAGAAATTGGTTGGATGGTCTCACCCAGAGGGTTGTGGTCAACTGCTCAATGTCCAGCTGGAGATGGGTGACAAGTGGTGTCCCTCAGGGGTCAGTGCTGGGACCAGTGCTCTTCAATATCTTCATTAATGGCATAGACAGTGGAATTGAGGGCAACCTCAGCAAGCTTGCAGATGACACCAAGCTGAGTGGTGTGACTGATATGGCAGAGGGATGGGATGTCCTCCAGAGGGACCTGGACAAGCTGGAGAAGTGGGCCCATGTGAACATCATGAGATTCAACAAGGCCGAGTGCAAGGTCTGCAGCTGGGTCAGGGAAATACTCGTTATCAATACAGGCTGGGGGATGACGTGAAAGAGAGCAGTCCCCTGGAAAACAGCTTGGGGGTACTGGTGGACGAAAAGCTGGACATGAGCCAAGAACACATGCTCGCAGCCCAGAAGGCCAATCGCATCCTGGGCTGCATCAGAAGTGTGGGCAGCAGGTCAAGGGAGGTGATTCCGTCCCTCTGCTCTGCTCTGGTGAGACCTCACCTGCAGTGCCGTGTCCAGCTCTGGAGCCCACAGTACAAGAAGGATGTGGATCTGCTTGAGCGGGTCCAGAGGAGGGTCACAAAAATGACCAAAGGGCTGGAGCACCTCTCCTACGGGGACAGGCTGAGAGAGTTGGAGTTGTTTGGCTTGGAGAAGAGAAGGCTTCAGGGAGACCTCATAGCAGCCTTGCCGTGCTTAAAGGGGGCTACAGGAACGATGGAGAGGGGCTGTTCACAAGGGTGTGCAGAGACAGGATGAGGGGCAATGGTTTTAAAGTAGAGCAAGGCAGACTTTGATTAGATGTTAGGAAGAAGTTCTTTACTATGAGAGTGATGAAACCCTGGCACAGGTTGACCAGAGAGGTGGAGGCTCCATCCCTGGAGACATTCAAGGTCAGGCTTGATGGGGCTCTGAGCAACCTGATCCAGTTGAAGATGTCCCTGCTCACTGCCGGGGGTTGGACTAGATGAACTTTAAATGTCCCTTCCAGCACAGCACATTCTAAGATTCTACAATCTGATTTTCATTCACTGCCTATCCCCACCAAAGAAAATGTGAAAATGAAGGCAAGAGGAAGAAAATAAAAAGGATGGAAATGATCTCCAAGAAAAAAACCCCACACATGAAAGAGTTGGAAACTGCAAAGGAAATAGGAAATATAAATGTATTCCAACTACATAATATCTGACATTATAAGGGAATTGTTTTGATACTGCTCTAGTCACTGCGATGGTAGTTCAGAGGGTAAGTCCACAATGGTTACTTAGGTCTAAAATCACACCTGGGACTATCTAGTTAGATATACTGAAGAACTGTTTACATGTGGCTTACATAGAATTAGACATTCTAATCTTCCTTGGAACACTATTAAACATACACACATAATTTTCATATATCGTGTAAATACATACTTAAGTAAATCTACACCCTGAAAAATTCTATTGTTCGCAAGATACTGGCTTAATTGTAACACAATACACAACTAGAAACAAAATCATTATCATATTTTTTTTCAGAAGCTGAGAGGAAAAAGGCCTTTCTCACCTACAGTGCTGCGAATCTTATGGAAATTATTAATTGCAAATACATATGACTGTATACATACCTGATAAGCATACATATATAAATATAATTTTAAATTATTAATTTATTTTCAAATTATTGCGATCCAAGCTGTGTTACAGTTTTTAACCTTTTGGAACCTTCCCAACCCTAATTTCCATATGTTTTTAGAAAATGTTCAGAATTTTCTATCCTCTCTTTTCAATTAACTAGCCAGATATAATAATTTCAGTATCTTGCATACACTTGTCAAGGAGCTAGACTCTTCTACACATTGTAGAACTCTACACATGGATGAAAATAATGCAGGCTATTGGCTCACCGTCTGCAATTGCTTCTCCTTTCAGGCTCTTCATTCCTCCCAGAACTGGATTTCCATCCATGTAAAATTCAATTATACTTTCATCCAGAGTTATCAGAAGGTGAAGCCAAGTATTTTCATCCAGATACTTCAGGACGGTTGCTTTAGCCATGTATGTCAAATTGGATCCTAATGCTGTATAGTGAAGCACTACAGAAACATGAGAATCGTTTGTTTGGATTTTCACGCCGTAGTATAAGGTCCCATTATCATCGTCCTTTTCAACTATGTAACCATCAGTATTGACGTGAGGAATTAACCACGCTGAAAATGTAAAATTGGTGACTGCAGTATTTCCATTATACGGGTATTCCGGACCAATAATCCCAAACGCATCCTCTTTTCCACTGAAATACAGAGCATCTGTTCCGCTGGGATGGCGTCTCATGTGGGGCTGAGATTGTACTGAACTTGGAAATGATCCCAGCAACAAGAGGTCTACCATTGGTGGTAGTCCAGCCTGGAATGAACTAGACAGTATTTCCCAACCTAATCGCACCACACCAAAAGTGCCTTGTTGCCTTCGGATGGTGAAGTCTGTAATATATGAAAGATCATCTTCAGAAAGAACATCTTCCACTACCTCTCTGTCCAGGCTCTCTGGATCTATAACAAAGACTCCAAAAGGGTCATCATTGAACGGAATCACCACGGTGAGAGCAAGGTTGGTTTCTGATAACTGACCACCAGGACCAGGAGACCCACCTATACAGTGGAAGTTAGAGCAAAAGTTAATGGCTGGTTTCAAACAACATGGTCTGAAAGAAGTTACTAAAAAAGTAAAACTTGAAGTTTTGCTGATAAAGTATGTTTCTAAAAAGGCTTAGATCTACCTTAAAGAGCTTCTGAACTCTTAGAAAATGCTTTGATTTAACAATAACACATTTTAAATGTATTATGTTTAAATCAAAATAGTCACAATTTTCATACTGCAAAACACACATTTGTCTTTCAGCTAAAACAAGATTTGCTCCACCTTTTCTGAATTAGTCAATGAGACAGGTTACCTATGATCCAGTTGACCAACATGGGGCCAAATTCAGTTCTCACATTACTCCAAGATTCACACGAATATGGAAGAGCAAAATTTGGCCCACTGCCTCTGAAACAGAAGCAGATGGACCCTGCAAGATTAGGAACCAGTTGTGTGATAAAACTGCTGTCAAGGTCTGCCATTCGTCATCTATTTCTGCACAGTAAGAATTCATGACAGGAAGATCATGAGGTGAATGTAGAGCTTCCATGTTCAAAGTATGCAGTGATCCAGCTATTGTAAGTAGGAAATCTTTATGGATTTCACTCACAGAAAAGGTCAATATGCATTTTCAGTTGCATTTGTGCACTGAAGACCATAAGTAGTACCGAGGTGGATTGAGTGCAGGAGAATCCTGCTTAGTAGCAGACCTGAAGCAGCTCTAGTTTAAGTAAGATAAAATGGTAACTTCTAAGTATTTTACCTCCTCTAGAATAAGAAAAACCAGCCTCCCTCATATTAGAGAGGCATAAACTCTAATAGGTTTGTCTTCAACTACACAAAGATCTACATCTCTGAAATCAAAAAGAAACATCCTTTTTAAAGGTCAGATCACCAGAATATGTATAATTCAGAGACTGAATAACTACGTTCATGTACCTAAATTAAGATTAAATGAAGAATTAAACCTAAAACATTACCAGAAAAGTATAGGATATCAAGACATGATTCAAGGCAAAACTCTTTCCAGAGATGGTTTCTTTTTGATTGATTAAACATAACTCTTTTCTACTAGTTATGAAGGGAATGGTGATACGGAAGACAGTACCTGAAGCATTCACCAATTTCAGAATGTAAAATTCATTGAATTCAGGAATACTATCTGAAATAGCACGGAGTGTTATTGGCTTTGATTCTTCACCATCCACGAAGTGCACAGTCCCATAAGTTTCATGGAATTCTTCTCCTGGCCTCAACGCAGAGTCGTTATCAAACAGCTGCCAGGCCAACGAGACATTGCCAAAATGTCCTCTGTGTCTCAAAACCCTGTTCAGATACAGAGAGAGTGAACATCCTGGCAGGTATAAATCAGCATTCGCTGTCAAGGGAAAACACAATTATACTAACCTTACTGTGAAAAATAATATACAATGTTCTAAATAACCACAAACAACACAATCCTGTTTGAAGACACGCAGTTTCACAGTAAGGTTCCACTCACAAGCACACACAGGTACCTTAGGAAAAAAGTAACAATGCAGGTCCATGCAAAACAGTACTGTTCATCAGTCTGTCTTGCACTGCTGTGATGGAAATAAAAAACACTAATATATAATAGTTTAGAAAGGTAGCATTAAAAATTGATATATGTGGCTACCCTTAGACAAGAAAGAGAATCATCTGTGTTTAACTGATGTTTCTCCCTCTCACCATTAAGCCTTCCTAAACTCTTTCTTACTTAATTAAATTTAGGTTATATTTTATGTCCTTTGGAAATTTGTGGCTATTCCAGATTAACAATGTCATAAATAAACCTAAGACTTTTATTTTTTTGCATAGCTATCTCATAACAAAAGTTATTTTGTTATGTAAGTGGTGCCTTTCTGCCACAACTTCTTCCTAAGAAATCATGAAAACCTGGCGTACAGGATGGAAAATAAAATGAAACCTTCACAGGCAGCACAGAAATTCAAGGAAGCTCTTTTTTAAAAAAAAAAAAAGAGAAAAGAATCTCCACAGAAGCAAAGGCAAGTCACTAAACAGAAAGAGTGACTCTAAAGGACAAGATTTCCATTCAAGAGTGATTTTTGGCAGAGTTTGTGCACCACGCCAGGGCTGGAGGAAATGACAAGGGAAACCTCCCTGATGCTGTTGGCAGAAGGTGGGAGAAAACACAGGTGGGAACTCTGGAAAAATCACAGTACTTAGTCAAGACGTCCTCACTGTCACGGAAGTCAGAGTTACATTTTCAACAGGACATGGGAGGCAACCTTTCAGTGGTCGGTGTCCCTTACAGACACAAATCTTTCAATTCCTAACAGCTGGTCAGCATCCACACTACAGTGATGCGCCTGCATCCTAACTGTTGTTATTATATTATATTGACAAAATGTGCTTTACACACACAGAAAAAAGTGTGCTTCTGTTTATACTGTAAAATAAAATGCTGCATAAAGAGATTATACCACGCTGAAAAGTTAGATCAGAAGAACTAGTATAGGCACAGAAACACAATTATGTTGTTTCTGCTCCAAGAAACTTTTCTTTTTTTGCCATTTGCACTCTATTCCAGTTGGTTAGCACTGTTGCAGTAACTCCAGCTTCTCCCTCTAGAGCGTAGTGATGCCATAGGTGTTCTCAGCAGTCAGGTTTTTTGCTGCTCTGACCTTTTTTTTTATGTGCTACATGACAGTCAACAGCAGTGAAAAGGCAGCTTTTCATTGCGTGGAAGTACGAGGCAGCTCTTCACATTCAAAAGTGTGGAAGAGGCAGCTCGCTGGTAAATATTTCTCATCCACGAGGACTGAGCAAGGTCCTCCAATGTTGGTGATGTTAGTATCACATGCTTCCATAAAGCGTCGTATATAAACATATTTAGTGTAAATCATTATTCTCCATGCCATCAAAAAAAAATAAAAATCCTGCATATAAATTCGAAAGGACAGAAAAACCCTCAAAACAAACTCAGAAGAGCTACATAACAAAACTGAACACATAATATATTTAACAACCATTTTATCAAGGATTATAATTTTTGAGATGTGTAAAACAACCATACAAGACCTAATTCACAGACATAGGCATCTGCTTCAAGGCCTTAAAACATTCTAAAAAAAAAAAGTAAAAGTTATAAAAGATAATCAAACAAACGTAAAAAGAACCTCTTCCCTGACTGTGCACACTATCTTATCTGTTGTGACCTATCCTGCCTTTACATCTTGTCTAGAGGTTTCCTAACAAAAAATCAGTATTTTTGCCAAATTATAATCCCAGCGTGCCTTTAGGGAACATTCTATGCTAAGATGCCAGGCAAATTCATGTCTGAACGTTTGCCATTCTTGAATACATCCCTGTAGATGGAGGAAAAACTTTCAGAGGTCATACTAGGGAAGTGCATTTTCTACACATAAGACAGTCAAATCTGGACTTTGAGTATAGACTTCCATCTGTAATTAACAGGTAGAAGAAATAGTTGATATCTTCAATATGTTTACAAATAATTTAATCCAAAATTTGGTAAAGCCACTTTTCTTTAAGATATTTTATAAGTGCAAACTTGCATGGGACTGGACCAAAGTACTATCTATAAAGCAGCACCTACATTGGTTCAAAAAAAGTGCAGAAGTAGTATTTAAAAGTCACTTACAAAAAATTGTTACTTTTGCCTTCTTCCACTGTCTTCTCTAAAGGCTCCAAGGAGAAGATCCCATTAGGATCATCATTTGCTTCAATAACAACCGTAGCCACTCCAGCTTTAAAGATAACAGTATCCCCTAAAAAAGGGGTGATTAATTTTAACAAAACTGGAATCAGAAATGAAAGTAAATTTAAAACTGACGGTGTTTCCCTGTTACACCTACTACTTTTATGCAAACAAAGAGACAAAGAATGATAAAACCATCAGAGAAGATCGATATTTGAGATAACAGGCAAGTCAGAGCAAAAACACTTAAGCAGCATCTCATGCAGAAAGCAACACACAAATGTGCAAGAAAAAACATATGTCACATGACCAGAGAAGGTGTAACTCTGAGAAGAAAGGACTGTATGAGAGGTAGTACTTTGTATTTGATCAATTGGTCAAGTCAAAAGAAAAAGTATTCAGACATTCCAACTCTCCTTTACACCTTGAATAGAAATATTGCACTTAAACTAAACGAAAGCTAAGAACAATGTCTGAGAGTTTATTCATACCCTTACCACAGCCCATCTGAAAGGAAAAAAAAAGCTGTGAAGCAGAGTGGAAGCTAGTAGGATTTCTGTGTGTATATTAGCACTGTAGGGACATTTTAACACTCCTCCTGTGTCTACAGATGTACAATGTGTTTCAACTCCCATCCCATTTTTTGCCCTAGTTAAGAGCTTTAGACTAGATTTTGTTCTGACGTAAACAATATGCTTACCACCTTAACTTCATATACCTCTATTTGTATTTTCCCTAAGGTCCAATGTAATTTTCAAAGGGAGTGTAACAATTAAGGCGAACACATACAACAGACAGTAGACAGAAAAAAAAAAACACCTTTTTGCTTTCAGGTAGGCATATAGAAATATTCTGTATTTTTAGTGATTCTACAGAGGCTGCACAACATGATCCTCCTTTTAGAAGGAAAGGAATCTCGCAGCTACCTGTTGTTGTACGACCAGTGTACCAGGAGGAAAATCATCATATGTTCCCAATAGTGTGGTAAGAGATCCAGTGGATCTTGGAGAAAGTTAGTAGAGTAGAAACAAATCACCAAAGAGAAAATTTAAGGGAGAAGAATGGGTTTGTGCAATCATTTCCATAAGGTTGATGTTCTGTAGGAGATGTGGGTACCAGAACACATTCTTCACTGGTGGTACACTGGGGAATTTCTAACACACATCCTTCTGTGCATTAAGCTTTGTAAAATTATGTCAGCCTGAAAAAAAATTATGTGTACATTGTACTATTACAAAAATAAAATAAAGACCTATTTCCATGATTTTCCTCTGTTTTCACAAAAATCAGGCAGCTGTGTAGTGTACACTGGAGCACAACAAACTAAAACAATTCCTCTTTCTCTAAGACTATTGCTAGCATTCTTCAGCCTTGTGTTTTTGTAGTCAAGTCAAAACCCATCTCATCTGGAGCATTTACATTTGAAAAAGACACTCACTCCAGTTATTTTGCAGGAGAGGTTTCAGCTGTATCATTTGATTTCTCTTTCCAATTTAACAGTTCAGGATAAAAATCCAAACGCGCTGTGTACTGTAATTGTACAGAAATGGTAAATCTTACCTTATTGATATAATACTTGGCATATATCTGTTGCTTTATGATAAGACCAAGTTGTTAAAAATTTGCAGAAAAAAAATTACTAAACATGCATCAAATCATTACTGTTACCTGTAGAATTCAAAAGGAAGATATAAAATGTTTCATCAGTTTCAGGGGTATCATCATCATTAGTATACACAGATAAATTCTGCTCTCTTTCTCCAATATCAAACAAAATGACACTGCTCTTTCCACTGGGAACAAAATCTCCCTCTTCAGCTGTTGCATCTCCATTAACAGTAATATACTGGACAGCAACAGCAACATCAGCAGATCCATTCCTTAGGACTGTGAAGTCTGCAACACTTCCTTCTTTAACGCTCACTGTCAGAGGCTCTGCAAATACACAAGCAACAAATCTACCTGACTTCTGAAAGAAACAAATACATGTTCAACACAACAAAAACATGAACATTATACACTAGCTCCACTGGGATTAGGAGGATATTTCAATGATCTGGTCCATAGATAAAATTAATTTCAGGTAGTATACATATTCTACATTTAAAAATGGTAATATCTAACCTGCAAAATAAACGGGATCATCATTCCTTGTAATCTGTAAAATTGCACTGGTCATATTTCCCAGCCTGGCTCCATTGGTAGCACTGAATAAGCTGATGATGAATACCTCCATCTCCTCAGGTACCTGCAATAAAAAGTATTACGAAATAAATTTCTAGCATACGAAACACTGAAGAAATTAAAATGAACAGCTGAGGTGAGTTAACGAAACAGAGATGTCTGAGTGTTGTCTTTTTATCTATTGATCCTTGAGATTTTCAAGAGGGATGAAAAATGACAATTCGTACAGTTACACAGAAATCATTATCAGTCTAAAATCCTTGTAAATGTCCCATCATCTTTACTGTTGTATGATCCAAGCTTCTGATGCACATAATTTACTTTTACAGATTTATTTATTTATTTATGATTAGTTTAATTCTTTCTTATATTACATCAAATATATCAGTTCTAAAAATAAAAATAAAAATTAGCATTCCTATTATCAAAACAAGTTTTTATATTCAGCTGAACATTTCTGTAATTCAACCACCATCAACTACTTTCAGTTTCTAGCTTTACTTTCAGGTATGCACAGCTTCCCAATTTCTTTATGGTTTACTGAAGTAACCTCAGTTTTACCCATCTATTTTGACTTTTCATACAAATACTTATCAGGCTCTTAAAAAACAAATATTCCACCTTTCACCTTATATTGTAATTCTTTAGCACGTAACTCTTCATCCCATATATTTACACAAAAATGCTGTAAAAATGTTTACCTCATCCGGCAGTGAGTAAATGGTGATATTTTTGGAAAACTCCAGATTATCAAAGAAAATCATCCCTTGTTCTGGATAGATGTCATTAGTACATGCTGGGTCAACAGCCCAAGACACACTAACATTGCCATAGTTTCCTTGGTTTCTTATAACTCTGTAAGTCGCTAAAAAATGCAAACATATACAATCAGTGTGCAACTTCAGAACAACACAAATCAAAAAGCAGAGATGAAGCAAAGAAAAAGGAAAGGAAACAATAAGCAAATCCACTTGTTGCAAATAATATGTGAGAGCATTACACGAAGGGATACATGAAGATAGACCATCAATGTTGTTCAAACTTGCTCAAGTTTGTTAGTTTTTTGCCTGCAAATTTACTAGGAAATTGAAAAGAGCGAGATAAATTGAACCCACCCATATGGGGATTTATCTCTGTTCTTTTCTCACATAGCTCCCTTTCTTATTGCTCCATGAGCAGAGTTATTACCTTCACGTTGCACCTTGCATATACACCAATACCCCAGCAGAAAAAAACCCCAAAGAGTAATTCTAATAAAAAAAAAGAATTACCAGCATATATGATTTCTTCTTTACTTTCCTGTATTGTTACTGATAGTTCATCTGGTAGAAACTGAATGACACCATGTGGATCATCATTCTTCAGAATGGTTATATTGACCCTTGTGGCATTCCCCAACTTGCCCGGCATTTCACTGTAGCCACTAAGTACTACGGAATATATCTCATCCAGCTAGAAGAGGGAAACTCAGTCAGAATAAAAGGAAATATTCAGTATTCACAGCCAAAACAAATGGGCAAACATCCACAGTCCCTAGCCAGGAAGAAAGAGATAAGGATTTAAACAAAAGGAAATCACATACACTTTCTCCATGCACAACGTGTTTGTACGTTGCCATCAGAGCAAAGAAATAATTAGAAAATTTCCATCTCTGATTTGCCATTTTCACAAAAATTCTAGCATTGCTACAGGCAAGGACTGATTTTGCACACTTAACTTAGAATCACATCAATTCATTAGTACAAATATATTTGTAAAGTTCTCTGCAAGGTGAGTTTGGTATTACTCAACATCACTAGAAAAGAAACAAAAAGGAAGTGATTCTTCATGCAGAGTTCAATTAAACAATGGCACTCAAAGCTACAGAACATCATGGATGCTAAAAAATCACATGGATTGAAAGCGTTAACTGTTCCTGTTCATAGAAAAAAAATCCACTGAGGGCTATTAAACCCCCAAACACCTTCTATTTATCCAGGCATCTCCAGTTTGGAGAACGGGAAGGCATTCTGGAAAAAAGCTGTTGCACATTTGTTCTGATCCTACATATATTTGTCCATATTTTAATAAGTGATGAACTAATATGCCTGTGAATACAACATGAAGGGAGAAAAATATTTTTACCTCTGGAATCCCATCCATCCTTGTCAGAAGAGTAATTATGATCTCTCTTTCAGCAGGCTGAAACTCCAGAATTCCTGTGCTTCCATAAAACTCATTATTGTCTCTTGGTTCTACAGTGTAGCGTAGAAACTGCCTGATGAGACTTCCTCTACTCCGGACAATCTGTAGTTCAACAGATTCCCCTTCCTGTAAAAGAGAAAGTCCATCTTTTTCCTAGCGCCCTGCTCAACTAACTAGCCCATAGTGATTAACAGAAATTACTCAAAAAGCTACCTTGATACTATAGGGACCTCTAGAAGAAGGAGAAAATTCAAACACTCCTCCTGGGTCATCGTTTTCCAGAATAATAATTTCACAAGTTGTAAACCCATATTTCAGTATTTGATTTTCCACACTGACCCTAAGAAAAAAAAGTAAGAAGTTTTTTTGAGCGACAATACTGTCTGGCAATTAAATCCCCACTTGTGCGAAGGACATCTGAATACTGATGAATTTGATGAAAACATTATGAAAACAATTACCTGCAAAGAATAAAATAAATTAAGAAAGACACATATTTTATCCATTTGTCAAAAAAATATTTGCTTCTGAAGTAATTTCTGAATAGCTTTTAGAGTTGGTAATTCTGAGGTGTTTTAGTCACACATGCACACAACACACAGGAAAAACAGATTTATGCAGTAAAAAGCCAGAGTTGCATTCAGTATGACTCTATGTTTGGATCAAACCATAAAGGATAATCCAAAATCACTTAAACAAAGAGAAATTACACCTTCCCTTTCTCCTCTCTTGCTCACAAACCTGCTGTATAAACGCATATGGTGACTGGTACAGGCATGATCAAATAGCTGCTCTTGGTGGAGAATTTCTCTCTCTGGGCTATTGCTACACCATCTTCGTCTTACTCCTAGACATGAAGGGGCCATATTTGACAAAAGAATGAAGCCTTGCACAGTTCTTGCAATCATTTCCTCAGATGTGGTAATTGCCAAAGTCATTGGTTTAAGTTCATTAAATTAAAAATGCCAGAAAAACTACTCCTGAAGAATGCATCAAAAATGCACCATCAGATGGATGGTTTGGTATGGCTTATTACAAGGTGTTTTGTGTGTTTAGGTTCCTTTGCATCTTCCATACTTCCTGGAAGAAAATTTCAATGGAGCCTTGGTCCAACACATCATAAATATTTTCATGGTTTCCCTGTATTACAACCCAGATTTCATGAGACACTACTTCACATAAAAAGAGTTGTAGTCTATTGTATCTAATATTCAAAATCAGTTCCAGAAATATTTCCACAAACATTCCATAAATAACTGGAGCGCCTCCCCTAAAAAAAAATAAATAGCAACGTATCTTGTAGCAAAGTTTACAGAAAGGATACAAGATGCAAAAAAGGAAACATCTATTTAAAAGGGTAACATGTCATGTTTATTGCATATTAAAAAAATATGTCACCAGACACTGTAACCTGTGTTAACATAAACTAAATGTAAGTTATACAAAAACTAAGAGAAATACTCATCTTTGACAACTTCCTCTCTATAATCCTAGTCAGTTCAGTCATTTATTTTGGACTAATCATGATTTTGGCAGTTTAAAACAACTAATCCGTTATTGCATGAAATGCTCAAATACCAAACACTGAGCCATGCATTCATAACTTTCATCACTTACAGATCCTAAATAAAAAAAGACCTTCATGCCAGAAACCCACGCCATCAAACTAAACACCAAAGGGCAAGCATGCATCATCTGAAGAGATGCAGAAGACGTAATTCCTGAGAGGAAAAGAAATTATAAAGACAGATTCTGTCCAAATCAATCACTTGTAAAACAAAGGACTGATTCAATGAAGACAAACCACAGTTCACTGCACTTACCCAAAGTACACGATAAACCTTTCTGTCTCTACCCTGTCAACAGAGACAAAAAAAAAAAGACAGAAAGAAAGGAAGGGGATGGGGGAAGGAATGAAAGTGCCGCTTGCTAGAATTCCAATGGAATTAATCTTAGTAAAGAAAAATAATAATTTAAACCAAAACAAAGCAAAATGAACAAACAAACCACCATGGTTTCTTTTTCTTTTTCCCTTCCAAACACTTACAATGATCATTTCAGGGGAAGCCTACTTGGCATTTTCCTGTTGACAAATGTTATCAAGTGGGCAGTTCCCACTTAGGAGGAATGACCCCATGACCAATTCAGTGTGTCAAGACTCATTCACGGTACACTCCACCAAGCCCTCTTCCAAGAGCTTGATTACTGCCAAACTCTGTGCATGTTACCCACTGCACCAGCAGCCCACATTTAAAAATTTCCTTTCACTTAATAAAACATAATATACAACCAAACAAGCAAAAAAACCCAACAAAACAAACCCCACATGCCTTCACGATATGTTATTTCAGCCAAACTAATGATAAAAACAGAAAAGCACAGATGGAGTTTAACAGGTACAAACCAAAAACTATTTTGGCACAAAATGATACCAAATTTTAATTCTGGCAATTTTTCAGTTAAACAGATTACCTAAATAAAATACTAATATAAAAATGACAGAAACAATAATACAAAAATATGAAAAAAGTATTTGCAAATCTCTTAACTGGTTCTTTTTCAGCCAAGCACTTATAACAAACTACTACATCAAGTCATATGAAAGGGCAGTATTATTCTGCAATGGTAATCATGCATTTTGACTTTCTTCATCTAAAATGAGTAGACATTAAATACAGAGCCTGTATCTTCTATCAAAATACCATAAGCAGATTGCTATAGCATTTACAAAGTAAAATTCTGTCTTCATGAATCTCAAAAAGAGCTCAGAATCAGAATTCAGCAGACATAAGAATTCACTCAGAAGTTGGAGAAAATAAATACACTGGCAGATAGATTCTTTCAGATAGGAAATTTGAATTAATAGAAATTTCTCACTGTTTTCCAAGGAGGTTAGATTTTAAATACTGTATAACACATCCTTCCTTCCTTCAGAAACAGCAAAAGTGTTGCAAAATCATCAAAATATAAGCACAATGGAAAGAGAAAATACCAGAGTTGGTAATGCTAAAATTTAATTATATCGCTAAGCTCTTGGTAATATAATTTACAACAGAGAATATAAATGAACCATTATGTCAAGTGAGGTTTTGATATGTATGCACAAGCTTAAGTAGTTAAGACATATAATTCACCAGAAAGTGAAAAGGCATGCCAGAAATTAAATCTCTTTAGGCTTCATCAAGTTACACTGCATGAGTCCAAGCACAGGTCAGACAAAAAAAAGCCGGTTAAGATGAACTGAGAAGTAGGTCTAGAATCTAATATTGAGTGGTAATCCACAGTGGCAGCACTGCAGAAATCAAAGGGTAGCAGAAAGAGTCACAAGGACACATGAGGTAGGCATCTAGAGCATCACCAGGTCTTGCCCAAAAGGGCTGGGAAGACTGGCAATACTTTATTACTTTTAAACAGTCACAGCATAAGTTAGATGGGTATCTAGACAAACTGCAGGTCAGAAAGCAACTAGCCAGATCCACTGCTAAAAAACAGTGTTGGGGAGGTTTCTTCATCCAAGTCTCATTTTCAACACTAAGATCCCTTTGTTTTTTTCTATTTAATGATTGATCGGACTACAGTTTCTCTGCAGGATTGGCCAGACTGCCATCACTGCTCTGAGACAGCAAATGTTGGTTCCTATTATAAAAAGGCATAAAATAGCCTATGCAAAAATGGAATAGAAGCACCTAGTCTTATACTTCCAGCTCTGAGCTGCTGTTGCATGAGCAACAAACGGTGCACACACCAGGATCCCTCACATCTACTCTCTGAGCTACTCACAGATGAATTCCCATAACATCCCTGGACCAGGACCCACCAGGTGACCTCCTGGCTCATCCCCGGATATGTCTTCCTGCTGTGGACTTGCCTGGTGATCATTGGGCTATGTCTGACTCTGGTGTCACCCTAAAGCTAATGTGTGTTCCTGGCTTGACCTGTCCCACCGCCATGACCTTGCCTGATGCCCTGGGCTCCAGGTTGCCCTCAGCTGCCTGCTCCAGCCGTTTCTCCCACCTCACTCGTGGTGGTGGGATGAGTCCCTGCCCAACCAGCCATCTCACCAGGCTGGACTCCTGGCTCCACACCACCACACAGCCCGCCAGCCAACAAACATCAGCTCTTGTTACATGTCCTGGCAACGTCCAAGAACAACACGTTGTTCATCTACAGCCCTTTTGTCATAAAGGCCTCCAAACTGCACAGTGTAGTCCTCTTTCACGCTTTGTAGTATGCCAAACCATCTCTTTGGGCCCTCCCATGACAGCAGCATGGAAACAGGACAAAAATGGCTCCTCAGAACTTCCAAAACTCATGGTCTGCCCTGGTGAGGGTATTCAGAAGTAATGACAAAACGTAAAACAACTCCTTGAGCACAGTTGTTTAGCCATATCAAGGAGCTCCAGCTACTAGAGAGAGGACTTGTCAAGGAGTACGGAGATGTTTCCTGCTGGGGAAGGTATCTGCCTTTCTTTCTTAACTTTTCCTGTGAAAATGGCTATCTGTGGACATGAAGTTTCATTTTATCACAGAGGATAACTGCTGGTAATATTTATGAAGCTAACACAAGAAACGCAATCTCAAACTGCATAACTGTGTTTTCTGTGATGAAACAGCTGTAAAAAAAGCACTTCCCATATGACAAATCTCATATGAAATGACTTGTCATTAGGGAAATACTTTTTCTCAAAAAAACCCTTAATTATTATTTAGCAAGAAGTATAGATTAATTAGGACAACTAACAGAAGCTTCAAAATGTTTCTTGCACTTTTTTAAACACGTAGTACCACAAAACAGCACAAAGATTTTTGACTGAATTTAAAGTAAAGAGGAATACTCCTGCAAACAAAATAATAATTATTAAGAGATGCAATGTGGTCGAATTTGATATCTTTGGACCAAGAATTGGAATTCTGCAGAAAGTGAATGTTTTGAAAGCCACTTGAGAAAGAGAAGTGTAACTGGGAATCAGTATTGCTGTTACTGTTAACAACACGTCTCTAAAAAACTTTCATTTATATCAAAGTATCTCATAAAAGCTGTATTCAGATTGCCTGTGGAATGCTACTCAATTTGTTTCCTAGATTTGTAATCAGTATTCACCCCTTCTTCAATTTTTTCAGGATTATCATCATAGAATGGCCTAAGGTGGAATGGACCTTAGAGATCATTTTAATCCAGCCTCCCTGCCGCCAGGGACACCACCTCTCGACTACTGCTTTAGGCAGGTCCTAACTTTAAAGAATAGTATTAAAGTAGGATTTGCCACATCACAAATTCCACAGTGCTTCTCATCAGAGGCAACACCTTCTTTACAGGTTTAATCCCTGAATTATTTGATTTTGAAGGCTATATTAATTTTTATTTCTCATACCAGAAGATATACGGTGTTATTATTTTTGAAAAGTAATAAACGCTATCAGTAGGTGTTCAGCAGAACTCATTTAAACATTCTACAACTTTTTCCCCATCAGAAAGAAGCCTGATTAAACCTTTCAAAAAAAATCCAGCATTTTACACTGAAAGAGTTATCTCGTTCAGCATCACGTGTATTACATAATAGAAAACACTTAGAAAGATTAATACAATTTTGAAAAAGAAACAGGAAATCACCAAGTTAGGAGAAAATCCCAGTCCCACTAAACAGTATATGGTGTTTCTGTGCATGCCAGTGCAGACAGCAACCCACGAAATATAAACATTACTTAAGCCCTGAATTAAAGAGCGTGAAGAGTATGCAGTGCTTTAAATGGTCTTTCTGTGATTTGCTAACTTTTCATGATGAAGTATTCTCCTAAACAGAAAAAAAAACCCAAAACCCAAACTACTAGACACTTCACGATGAGCTAGTAAAACCTATGTTCCATATTTGTAATTTTGAAAAAAAACCTATTTTCTAATTTTACTCAAGATAGAATTTCAGCCTGTGGAAACTTGTGTCACACCAGAGAAATCACTAGAGCTATAAAAATCCCCAAGTTACAGTGCTTCAGTTTTACTTTATTATATATAGCAAAGGAAATTTAGGTCATAACATATGTCTGTGGATCTGTTCTGGCATCCTAAATTATATGTGTCATGACTCCAAAAAAATTTGAGCATAAGGACTTTTTAAACAGTCATCTGTTCATGGATTATCACTTTCACAGATTAAAATCAATTTATCTGTACTTTGCTTTTGCCAGATCCCGAAGTCCACAAGTTCTCTCTCTTGACTTCATTCTTTGAAGAGTGCAAACACAACCCTCGTGCCATGGGGGTCCTAGCACTTCACCTGAGTTAACTTCCAGATTGATAACTGTGCCTGCACCTTACTGGAGGGGATACAGAAGGAAAAGGCAAAAATTAGATTTTTACAAAAATTATTTCTATTTGTGCTCACCATTTACAGGGAACAGCCCTAGTATGTATACATGGTTTCATAAAGCATACACACAATTTCCACCACCTATTTCACCTATATTCATCAAGAAGACCAAGGCCTTTTCATTCCCTTATAGATTTCACTGCAGACATTTGGCTTTATATTTGGTCTCAATTCAGGCCTATCCAGATATGGGCAGGCATTCAACCTGAAGCTGCCCCTAAAAAAAAAATACAAAGAAGCTCCAGTAGGTACTGGATTACCTTGCCTCTTTATTACTCATCTGTCTTCTTTGGAAGCATATTCCTTATGATAGACTTTGGTTTCCATTTTGTGGATGGAATTCAGAGTTACTTTTAGTATCTATGATCTTTGGATGGAGGCCATAGAGCAAGGAAGGTAAATGCTATTTTTATTGGCTTGGAAAGCTTCTTTTTATGAATGCAATCACTGCTCGTTTATAATGTAAACTGCCTTCTAACAACACCACTGAGTTGTAAACAATACATCCATGTTAGAACTAATTATTTTTATTACTTTATCCATGCTATTACTAATTGCAATAAATAGAATGCTTATGAACGTGTTCCTACGACCATAGTTTCATTAAAGTTTTTGCATGCTCTATTTTCCTACTGACTTACACCACAATTTATAGAACAGCACAAGCCCATCCACAGCACAGTACATCTTTGTTTCTCTGCTAATTCACTACTGCTGTGAGATGCTGGCTGCCAGCCTTGGAAACTGAAATCTTCTGTTCATCCAGAAAATACAAACTATGCAGAAAGCAATGCCACAATCTTGCACGCATAACCCTGCCAGTATCCTTCAGCCCTGATTTGAAGAGTCACCTCCAGTACTGAAAGGATGATCTTTGCAGTCATTTCACTCTTGGCTTCTGTGCATGTTGAAGTTGCCAAATCTCACTCGTAGCCTTGAGGGACATTATTCCATGTCTAGAGAAAAGTTCAGATTTTATCTCCTCCTTGTTTACTTCTTTTTCCCAGACAGACCACCTGTTCCCCACTTTCCTCTCTGACCTTGCCAAGTGTGGGAAAGCTGCTGTCTGCTGGCACACTTTCTACCAGCCACTTCATGATCAGCAGCACAACCCGCTGCTCCCACCACACATAGTGAAAGCAGAACAGTGGTTACATTTGTCCTGCTGCCAGTCCAACCCTCATCACAGCCATCGTTTTCAAGGCGCAGCCTAAGGTTAACAGAGTGAGTGGCAGAAAGCTCTAGCTACACACACCTGCAGAGCTGAAAGAATTTAAAAAGTTAATCTCCCGTGTTGTCCGATTCCTCTGTCTACTTATTTGTTTCCTACCCTTCCACTTCGATATTTTGGCCACTTTACAAAACTTCCTTGCACTTTCAATCATCATTTCTAATCTTAGTTTCCCTCTTTTTGCCAGAGACTCTGATGAATTCCTTGAGACAAACTAGTTTCATCCATAAGCAGGAAAGCAAAGAACTACTTGCAATAGCCCACTTTTGCTTTTGTCTGGAACAGGACTGTCTCTTCAACAGAGTGAGTAGCTAAGTGCCAGGGGTGAGGGCTGGGCTGGCCACTGAATGCTGACAGATGCTCTTTAACCCTCTCTTCTTCCCCAAATGGAAAGGAAAAGGGAATGAGGCAGAGAGACTCAGAGAATGGAAAACTAAGACAGCTTAAATAAAATGGCAATAGTACTAGTGAAGAAATAATTAGAATAATGAAAATATATGCAAATATACACAAAACTGGTATCAAACCCAAGTCCCTGCCACTTGATGCCAACTCCCACAGGCGCTGCAGAGCCGGCGGCACTGGGGCAGCTCCAGGCTCAGCAGCAGAGGGGAACCAGGCACCGAGGCTGGATTTGGGAACTCAGGCTCAGGATCAAGGCAAAATAACAGATGGAGTCCTCCTCAGACACTGGCCATTGAAGAAGAGACCTTAATCCCTGTGATGCTCACCAGAGGTGCCACCTGTTACTTCCTTGTGACCCTTTTACTTCCCGGCACCCCCAGCGTGGCACACAAGACCCAGCAGCATCCTTGGTCACTACAGGAGCAAGTCTCAGCCAGAGCCTTTCTGCATCCCCAGCCCTGGCAGTGACCAAACATCAGGCGTTATCACCTCCGGCAGCAGGCACTGCCTGCACAAACATGCTCTTAACTTCAGAAAGTGCAGCCTCTTAGAACAGACTGAGCTGGAAAGTAAAAATCACTGAACAGTATTTTGAGTAGCGTTGATCTGCAGGTAAGAGCACCTAGCTCTTGAGGTCCTTTACAGCCTTAACTATCCTATAATCCTGATCTCATGCAGAAGGGACTACAACATCGCGCTTCAGAAACACCATTTCTTTGTAGCCCAAGCGTCTGGCAATGGTCACACTGGGCTGTTTTGGAAGCCAGGAGCTTGTAATGGAAGCATCTAATTATCAAGAGCAAGCAATACTGAATGCACAGATCAAACAAATAAATATCTGATCTAATCCTGCAATGACACCATACCTATAAACTCTTTTTTTTTTCTGACAGAAACAGTTATGTAGTGCTTTCTACTCTTCATTACAGTCTTCATCGTTATCTCACTAAATACTGGTTTTCTGAAGATATGTTATAATCAAGAACTGTAACAAAAGATCAATGCTGAAAGAACTTTCTAAATAGCATACATTATTTTAATCAAGACGTAAACAAAATAAAGTCGTTTCTCGAGTTTTTCTCAAGTCAAAGAACAACTCATACGCAGAGCCTAATACCCCTTCAGACTCTTCTCAACACAACACAGGGAACGCCTCCAAATTAATACTGTGCTAATTTGTTATATAAAAATTGTGTGTTAGAACTGATATAAGTAAAGATTAGGGTACGATACCTGTCCAAAGTCAGTAAGAGAGTTTCATTCATTTCAGGTATATCATCAGCTTTAACAGTAATGTTGATTGTAGTATCACTTTGTCCAGATAAGAAAACAACGGAGCCATTAAAAGGACTTATATCATCATGGGTTACTGCCTTTTGATTGAGACCGGAGGGTTTCAAACTCCAGAAAACTGTTGCTTGACCATCAGTCCCATCTCGATGCAGTGCAATGGAAACCTATGAAACGCATGAGTCTGTTGTGACTTGTAAAGCTAGATGCAAAAAAATCATCCCTTTGCAAATTATTATATGAGTGTGAGCGTTAAAATGTTCAGCTTTCTTTTTCATTCATGCCTATGTATAAGATATGAAATAAAAGATGGTATATCAACAGAAAATGAGTCTTACCCTTTTAACCATTTACTAGTTATATAATTAAAATAGTGGAGACACCAGATTATTAACATTACAAATCACTAAGCAACCATAAACACAAAAAGCATTTCACAATTAATTTAAACAGTGCCCACTTCATCAAGACACAACTTAGGTTTTAAACGTAGTTACCGTAACTTTATTTTGGCTGTTAAAAGCACAGTGCCCACCTGTACTCTCAGAAGATTAACAGGTTTAATCTGAGAATAAGAAACAAATTATCTGATTCAGGATTTGTGGGAAAGTATCAGTGAAGACAACTAGGAAAAGAAGGAAAATGTATTGAAATATATGAAAAAGAGTTTTTAAAAAGGTTTCTCCAGCTTGGACTCAAGCACATGGATGGCAATATTTTTGAAAATGCTTCTTTGGATTCTAAGAAACTTACAAGTAAAACTTTTGGAAAACATAGCCAGCATGCCAAAGCATATGTTCACATGTAAGTCAGCTTCAAGATACACAGATATTTCCATTAAATCCGTATCAGTCCCTTATACTACCACCTTTGCAGTTGGTAAGAGATTAAAACCAGCTTTTTTTCCATGTAAGCATCACAACCTAAATGGTTTTAGGTGCTTACAAAGACAGCAAAGATGAACCTCCCTTTTCTGATTTTAACACATTATTTCAGACCTTACTTTTACAGGCACTTTTTCTGCCATTTTTGTTGTTTGTTTGTTTGTTTTCCAGAGTGGGTGAATATTTGGGAACAGGTAGAACTTAGAGGAAGGATTTTCCTCACATTAACTTTCAAATGTTACGCTGATTATAGCAAACTGCTTTCTCCAAATAAATTTACCATGCTAAGAGACATTATAAAAAGGTTTACTTACCAGCGTAGCAGGGGAATCTTCTGGCTCAGAAAGAATAATTGGAAGATTGCTAATAAACCCTATTTCTCCGTTTGCAATATCTGGAGTAATCCTTAGAGAAATATTTCGAATCTCGCATAATCTAGGACTTAGAGGTGGGACTAGGGGAATTCTATTCACCAGCTCAACTTTTTCCAGCTGTAGGAAAAGAAAAAAAAAAAAATTAGCCTTATTAATTTAAACCATGATAAACCAATTCTGTAAGTTTCATATGCAGGGACTTGCCTAATATTTCTTTCAAATATAATTTATACCGTGTGATTCTATCTGCATGGATCATTGCAATAAATGTTTCCACAACTGATTTGCATGTACTTCTGCAAATATTTCACTAGTGCATGAAACACCAATGGCAATCACCTCTGAACTCCCATGGGGAGTTTTTCTTGGAGTTATCAGACATTATCATAAAGTAAGGTTTTAAAGAAGGGGGGAAAAGTGGCCTTATATAAATCCATGCATTGATCACAAATCACTATGTCAACTGTTGAGTTTTAAAGCCCTTCGATTCTTAAAACCAAACTATATAAATTACCTAGGCTCTATCATACTTTGTTCTACCACTGCTCGAGTAACACACAAAGATATTAATGCACATTTTATTTGAAAATAGGTGGAAATGCTTTACAAATACTGTATTCAGTAGCTAATACTCAACCATACCAGCTAGTTAAGAGTCTGAGGAACAGATGGTGGAACTGTTCGTTTCAGTTGTTTTCTAAGCCTTCTTAGAAAAAGAAAGTGGGCCCTGGCTGTGCAATTAACAGTAATGTAGGTAAACTGCTGTCTGGTTGTTAGCTCAGAAAACTTTCTGAAATACTACACAGCTGAAAAAATTCACTTTGCTAGGAACTTCTGACCCTGGATAGTAAATTTGAATGAAGAACCAAGAAATTTGGTTTTAGTTCAGTGATGCTTTTTAAAGTAAATCAGCTCCTGTGGAAAAAAAAATGCATTGTGAACTGAATAAAAATGATGAGTAATTTATTAAATTAATTAATCTTCCTGTCCATACCAAAAACTGCACCTCGGACTACAGTAGTTTATTTAATTGGAGATGTCACTGAAGAACGTTAATCTCACTTTTCCAGTTCCTCTATCCATTCTTTAGCTGCGTTTAAGCTTCATTTCTTCCTCCGCTCGTCCTCCCCCAATTCCTGAGCTGATCCTTTATTGTGCCTAGTAGAAACTCTGTAATCTTCTCATTCTAAACATGTTCGCCGAGATTATTGTTTATTCACAATGCAGAAGGATTGTCATAGTGATAAATAGGAGTATTTTTTCTTCTTTCTCTAAATGAATTATTTGTGCTGGAAAGCCCTTCTGATTTTGTTTATTCAAACAAAAAGATTTTTATGGTTCATAGAGAAAGTACAGAACACCCACCCCCCGCCCTACTGGAATCTGCAGTTTGAAAAGCTGAGCAAAGTGCCTGCATTCTGAAATAGTTATCATATGTGTGTCTTGTCCACGCTGCAATGTTATTTATAATGTATCATTTAAAAGGGCCTCAGAATTAGATATTCCAATTCTGCAGATCTAAAAAAACCCATACTGACCTACTGTGGTACTCTAGAACGCAATTCCCTGTGTAACAGTGAATGCAAAGAAAATGCATACTAGTAAAACGATAACGTAATTCTAGCAATCCATTATTTTTTTTTAAGAGAATGTAGGGAGAAATAGGTGGAGAGAAGACATATTTTCAAGATCCCAGAAGTAGTTAAAACATCTTCAGTAAACCATAAGTTGAAGACAAAACCTGGCAAATTTTAAAACTATGGACTTAATAACGTCTTTGTCTGAAAAGTCAAAAGACATCTAACTTAAAATGAAAATATTAAAAAGAACTGTATCCGTTTTTCTGCGCACCAAGATCGCTACTTGGGCTCCCAGATGACCCAACTGTCAATAGTTACTCATAGGAAGTAGACATAGTGGCATTTCTGCAGATGAGAACTATAACAAATACTGATTACAATGCCCAGGATCTTCCACAGCAGTATATCTGAACAAAAACTTGCTAATATGTAAGCAAACTTGGTCTTCTCTAGTGAAAAAGGAAAGCCTTCTTTGGAAAGTAGAAATACTTTCTTTGCTGAAAATCCATTTTTCTGTTAAAAACATAATTTTAGTGATTTTTTCCAGGCAATTTTGACTACCATTGACAGAAGTTCCCTTCTTATAAACTCATATTAAAAAAATTATAAAAAGAGGAAAAAACAAGAACAATTGAAAAAAATACTTTTCAAGTTCTCTTGCCATATTTATATATAAATGTTGGATATTTGACTATTTTTAATTCATATTCACTTGCTTGGAATTTCTAAAATTTGTCAGGCTTCTGTAATTTAATTTAAGAGTGTTAATTTGGTTACACTGAAAGCCAAAGAGTAGACAGAGAAACATACCTCAAAAGGTAACTAATTTATGTAACATTGATCTCATTTTGCTAAATTCCATGATTAATACCTGAATCCTCTTACAATAGGATTTGTAAATTGGCAAATAATGATTAGGAATAAAGCTCTTTACAGCATATTTACGGAAGCTGTCTCTAAATAAGAAAGTGTTCTTAGGTGCAGAGCTAATAACTTTTCCTTTTTTGTCTTTTTTTTTAACAGGTAGGATGATTTTAATAAAATTTAAAGGGAAGGAGGCACTACTAAATTACAACCTTTATATTACATGGGCTAAAAAACCACCCCAAAACAGGATGGAGATACCTGTATGAGGAAGTGAGCACCATTCTGAAGAAATGCATCATTTCTTATTGGTATATTTAAAGTATCTTGTGTTTTTCCTTCTGGAAACATGAGAATGCTTCTTGTAGACATATTTAGAATGCCTTCTTTCGCTCTCGCAGGATCCAGAGCTCCAGCTGGAATATACATTGCAGTATAAACCAATTGCACATCTCCCACTGTTCCTCTCTCCCTTGCAAAACTCAAGGATAAAAAGCGTCCCATTGGATTACTTTCAATCTTCTGATTCTCCAAAGGGTAAAATTTTATTAGTCCATAAACATCATCGCTGTCCTGAATGTAAAACAGAAGCTGCAAAACAGAACACAGCATCACTTCACTCTGTGGTGCAGTTACCATACACCACAGTTTTCATGCTTTCACAAAAGCAAGTGTTGACTGTCACATACATTTTTCTCCTTGGTGAACTGGCGCTGGGGAAAGAAATCAGACTGACAGCCCCAAACTATTCTTTGTACACAAGTAGCACAACACTGGCTGTGGCAATTTTCCCACTATGCATCATCCATGTGAGAGAATGGGCTCTGAATAACTGATTTTTTGGTTCAGTAGCCAAAGTGAATAATTTAAAAACGTTTTGGATTGTGAAAAATTTCGTTTTATTCACCAAGTTCATTCCAACCATTTCTCAGAAAGACAAAGTAGAGACTTGAGTCACAAGATGCTCAGCAGTGCCAGCCACCCTTTATTTAACAGTTCAGAGGTTACAGTCTTAATCACCAACCCCTCCTCTTGAAGCTGTTATTCTGTGTAAAACGTTCCAATAATCATTAAGACAGAAAATGAGCAAGTAAAAATAACTTTCCTGTCTTTTCTTACCAAGCAGTCACTCAAGACAGCATTTTTGCAATGCCCTGTGTGCATTGGGAATAATCTAAGCTGAATGCCACCAGGTTAAAAAGGTCTGGCTTTGTACACTACACTAAGCCAAATACTTTGGAAAGGGCTCTATATACCAAGATTATGTTAAGGGTTAATTTGTTTGATTTATAGTCAAGCCCTTTTGCCAGTTCCACCCACCAATCACTGTTATCAAAACTGGTAAAGTCTGTAATTATTATCTATTATAACCTTCTCCAAAAGAATTCCAAAAGCAAACTTACCTGAGATGGTTCACTGACTTCTGCACCTCCCTGTATTGTATGAGCTAAGAGTTTCAGAAGATAGGGCTCTGCCTCTTCAGGCATATCATCGTTAATAATGTTCAGAGGAAGCGTTACGAGCATCTGACCCTGATCAAAAAATATCTCCCCGGTCTCCGGAATGAGGTCTGCAGTCACAGGTGAGGGATCACTGCTATTTCGGATGATAACCCAGGTAACAGAAACATTTCCGTGTGTTCCACCATTTCTTACAATCGTGATCCCTTCAAACCTATGGGTTTTGAATGAAAATAAAATATCCATAACATAAAATTTTAATTAATATTGGTTTGCTTAGTTATCAGTTCCCTGAAAGATTCACTCTGACTTAAGTGGAATAAATGTTCAGTGCTGTAACTGATATTTGAGTCAGGGCTCGAAGTTTGTGAAACCATAACACATGCATAAGACTTTTCTGTAATATCTATAAAACAATTTGTTAGAGCTCATTTTGTTTACAGCAAAAAAGAAAATGAGCAATGGAGCCTTGGCATGGTTTAGATTTGGCTTGAGAAATACACATCAAATTCCAGACTTTTTCTCCATTAACTTTCTACGCCATTTTAGAAAATACATCAAAATATAGTTGTCAGGTATGAACTGTTAAGTAATTATTCTGAATTAATTATTTGCCTCTGCACTAAAATATTAAATTATCAATATTTATGGCATCGAAAATGTGATGTTCCCAGCATATGACAAGCCCATGACTACCACAAAAAATCTGGGAATCATGACTTACAAAAATTTAGAAAGCAAAATTTATTTCTTTCCTATGTTTAAGACAGAAAGATGAATACTGAAGTTCTGGCCTCTATATATTATAAAATACTATTGCAAATTTGTTCATAGTATGGTAGCTTGCTACTGCTCCTCTGGGGAAGAACTACGTTCAGTAGCTAGCAGTGGACATTTTTATTCTTGCCTGTAAAATTTGTACAGAGCTTTGATTTTAATCTCTTTGTAAAATTACAAATATTTAACTTATTTCTAAATAACAGGTTGCCCAGAGCAGCTGTGGCAGCCCCTCCCTGGCAGAGCCCAAGGCCAGGTTGCACGGGGCTTTGGGGAATCTGTTCTGCTGAGAGGGGTCCCTACCCAAGGCATGGGGGTGGGACTGGGTGGGCTTTAAGGTCCCTCCTAACCCAAATCATTCAAAAATTTTAAGGTCAAGCTTAAGGCGTTTCATGGGAGACACTCTAAATCTCTTTTTTTTTACTTTTTTTTTAATTTGAGACTGATTTTATGTATAGTAAATACAAAGATTTACCATGGAAAGAAGACAGAAATCTGTTTCTCACTTTTATGAACTGGTGTGCAGCAGCCTCATGACTGATCCTGCCTTTAGACAAAGGGTTTTTCAGAATTCTGATAATATGATTAAATATTTAGTTTTTACATACAGTTCATAAATATTAAAATACTTCCCATATAGCCAGACATTCCCATTTTCTTGAAATCTCTGTAGATATAGCTGATAATAATAACAACAGACTAAGTGATTTCTACATTATATTTTCAGCAGTGATTCAATTTCAATTAAACCAATAAATGGAGGATAGCAATGACATACAAATTTCTTAAACTGACTAGATACTAGATGTGAAGATCTGCCGTACCTTGAAATTTGGTCTTCGTCAATGATAACTGTCTGTGCAAAGAGGATACTGTTGATTGATAGCACTCCATAGGGTTTATCATTCGGTTGGATGGTGACATGAACAACAGATGGATTAACCAAAACAGCATCTCCCTGCAAAGTGTCCTTAAGAAGCATAATCTGAAAGGTCTCAGCAATTTCTGGTATGGCATCATCAAGGATCTTAAACCTCATGTAAGTTTCATGAACTAGAGGTGGGAAAACAATAGTTGTATTTGGCTGTAGATCTAGGAAGTCTACATTAAGCTGTGCGTGTGCTGTTGAATTCCCAGTTATGATGGCGTAACTGACAGAGACTTCATGTTCATCAGGCCCAATCAATTTTCCACTGACATCCTTACCACGAACCAATTGAATTGCTACCACATCAGCTTCCTCAGGCACCACGTAAGCACTCTGAACAAAATGCACAGGACTGTCGTTTTCCTTAATATTAATCTGAACAGAATTTCTTGTGTTGTTGATTTCAGCCCCTCCCTCCACGCTCCTCAGATGTACGACAAACAGCTCATCATTTTCAGGTATCTGGAAAAATAATGTTAACAACTGAGTGTAAGTCACATTTCAAAACCATGAAGAACACTCTTACTGAGAAGTATAGTCTATATATTTTGCAGAGATGGGAAATAATAGAAACTTGGCAGTTCGTTTCATATGAAAACTAGCAGGAGAGAGGTCTTGGTTTTAAGTTTGGCTAAAAATCTCCTCTCAGAATTGAACAGTTCATTCTCTAAAACATACTTCTGTGCTCTGGCAATGTGAAAAAGAGTGGAAAGACAAGTAAAACAAAAACTAGACAAGGATCAGAAAAACCTGGATCTTTCCAAAGGAGATCCAAACTCTACTTTTGAAAGCCAACTCTATTTGGAAACAGATGTTCCTATATACATACTCAAGAGAATACAGGAACAATTTATTGACACAAGCTACCTTGGCTCATCCATTCCTATACAACTGGAAAAAGAACTCTTTCTGTATTGAGGCATACCCACATCCTCAGAGGAAATTTCTGTCACAGACCTGAGAAAGTGTTTTCTGGTGCTTAGCAGTTAGGCTTAGATGTTTCTACAAAATGAGTGTTTATAGCTGTTTCTTCTGATGTATCTAATGCAGCAGACAATAAACAATGGCTTATAAATTACAAACTGCAAAACTTAAGGATGAGATTTTTGCTTTGTATTACTTTTTCTTCCCTAAATCTTGATTTGCTAAACCTTTTTAACTGAAAAACATGATTATTGTATCAAAACATATAGGTTAAAAGTCAATCTTTAAAAAATTATTTGAGATCTTTGCATCTCAGCCTTGCTGTGGACTCCTGGAAACTAGTACTTTTATCTTCTGAGAGGAATTCCAGGATGAAATTACTTAATTTCTGCTAACGGTAATATTCTGTTGTAAAGTTGACAAATCCTTTTTATGCACTTTTGTCTACTGAGTTCTGAAAAAAAAAAGTTCTGAAGACCCTGCTGTCCAATACTTCTTCTCTTTCACACTCATTTGTTAATTGGCCACCCTCGGATACTTTTCTAGGGCTGAGAGAGTGGGCATGCAGCTGCCTTTGTAGCCGATGCCAGTTCTGTCCCTTGTTTGGCTTGTGGCACTTAAACTTGCATAATGTTGTTGACTGATGCAGGGGGTTTTTGTCAATGTGAAATCTGGAAGCTCTCAGTCACCTCTCTATCTTACACGGTGACACAACTCAGTTATTTTACCTTATTGGAAATAGATACTAGCTTACACTTTATTTAGGTCACTAATACACCAGCTTGCACCATAAAAATATGCATTTAAGTTGCAATAAAAATGTATCCACAACTTTAGCTGCCATTTACATATTTAAAAAAAAATAAATGAAAAGTGTAAGAAAAATGAAAGTCATAAACTGGTAGAAGTATATGTAGAAGCATAAGTAGAATAATATGTGAAATATGAACACAGTATTTTCAAAGACCAATCTAAAACCTGATTTTTTTTAATTATCATTTATTATTCACGGTCTTCACAAGACTGCCTGGGTTTTTTTAAGAATTTTGTCTATTTTCAGTATTTTCTAAAATATGATCCTACCTTGAAACACATCTATATACAAACATACAAAGTTTTTCAATCTACATCCTCTGAACATTCAATGTGTTACATTCCTTCTTTAGTGGAAAACATAACGTGTCTGCTCTTCACACGAATGAGAGCCCACAAAGCAAACAAAGAATTAACTGGATCCTTATGGCCTGTTAACTGAAGCCAGAGGTATTGCACAGGCATCACTGAAGATGTAATCAAAAATGCATTATGTAAGAAATGTTATGATTTTGCCTGCACTGGATAGCCTGCGTTCATTATGCAAATAGAGCCTGAAATTGCAAGGCAGACAATTAGGGAAAACCAGAGCACATTTGAAAAGAAATACAGAAAAGTTAAAAATAGAAAGGACAGTCTGACAGATAAACCTATACTTAGTTCACGAACATCATCCTTAGCCACACAAGGACTCAGCATTCCATCTGAATAAAAAGTATACTGTTTTCCTGATTATTTGTACATTTATAGCTGTAGCACATAACAGGCCTAGTCAGGGCAGCTAGGATGTGTGCAGAAACTAAAAATATTTACTGATGAGAATTACAGAGGTAGCATTAGAAGGAGTAAAAATGAGAGCGCATAGAGCCAAAATTTACCATTACTTGAGATTATGTTAGTAGAAGCACTTCTAATATTCAGTAAACCAAGTATTTTTGTAACTTACGGCTCCAAGTCCCTCTGGAACAGCAGTTAACCTACATATCCAAACTAAAAATGAAGTCAGCTTGTCCATACCTGATCGTCAAGAACTGTTAAATTATAAATCAGCATTGATCTCCCAGGGGTAAATGTAATATTTCCCCTAGAGGGACTTAAGTCTTCTTCAGCTGGGTTTGGTCCATCTTCTATCTGCATAAGAATTGATTTTTACAATAAGAAATATATATAACAGGGTTGCAAATCTAGTCCAAGTGCAATAATCAATACACAGCATGTGACATGCATAACAAACAGCTATCTGCTCAGCCATCTCCTGCTCGCAAGCAGACACATTCAGTTGTAAAAACCTGCTCTTTTGTGGCAGATGGAGTAAGAGTCACCACTCTGAGGAAATTATTGCCAGAAAAAGAGGAAGAAAACTACTTGCATACAGGCCTATGAAGACCCTTTGGTATCTACTGATGCATAACCGGCTCTGTTACATAACAGAAAGGATACTGGTTTTAATCTAATGTAAATCACTAATATTTCATAATAAGTGCCAAGATAAAATAATAGCAGTTACTGGGTTTGTATCCTTTCTATCTTGACTTGTGATAATAAGGAAATTACAGTTAATACTGAAACCTAAAAGACCAGGAAGACCCTTAGAGGCAATATGTCAGGGGCTTTTTGGAGAAAATCTTTCCATTTTCACACGTACACAGACTACACAGTGACATGGACCTGATTAATTGTGCAGACAGTAAAATTTATTGGATCTTAAAACAAATAGATCTGCAATGAACCACACACAGAATCTCTGTACACTAATTATGCGTGCTGTATTTAGTATGCAATAAAGTCCAATACAAATCTTTTGAGATTTTGACAGGTCTAGATTAAACCTTTGATGATGAGTAAGGCCAGGCAATTGACAAATAACTGTATGAAAGAATCTATATGTAATTTTAAAGTATGCATTAGAATTGGAGTTAGATAAGAGAAAAACAACAACAACAAATACAATAAAGGCAATAACTATACCACATTCAAATAAAGTACGTAAATAACGTTCTAAATATTCAACATAAGCATTTATTTCACGAGGTCTAAGTTTCTGGGAATTCAGACAGATACAGAATTCAGATTCAGAATTCAGTCTTACAGATACAGAATTACACTAAACACTGAGCTCTCACACTGACATGTTCGAAGTTGGCACAACACTCACTCAGAAAATTATTTATAAAATATAGGAAAATTTTGAAGAAATATTAAATAAGACATTCCTTAAACACTTAATACACATTGTTTTCTAGTAATACCAACTAATGCTGCCTCGAATATTTAAATGACAGCGAATACTGAGTTTTCTCTAGTGTCTCTTCCCTTTTCCTCAAGTTAAACAGTCGGGTAATTGCAGTACTATCTATTTGACAAGTAGCATCTTTCCATTTCATGAAACATATTTAACAAATGTAGACATAGGGATTTTACTCCTCCTTCACTTTTATAGACACTTTGATAAGTTACGGCCGCACAGTCCTATCGAACAGACTAAAGTATGAAGCCTTTTCAGTAAACTCACCTCAAAAGTTATGATGACCGTCCCATAGGTTCCCCTCTCTCTAATTAGAGTAAGAGGCACAAATTCATTTCTGCCCCTGGGCTCATTCACTGTGATTAAGGCAGACTAATGAGGAAGAAAAGGGACAGGCAATCAGGCACAGATCAAATATCACAGCAGAGGGAAGAAACTGTTACCATAGAAATACTAAACTCCCACAGACAAGTTAATCTAATCTGCAAACAAGTCCACTGATGGCACACATTTCCTAGCAACCAATTAGTTCAGCTAATAAAAAGCCTGAAATATTGCAGATAAAAACATTATCATAAGTTATGCAGGTAGAGAGGTTTGGGGTTTTTTTTGCAAATTAATATTGTCAATATACAAAAAGCACTGGCATATTAGCACTGATATTTTTTGGAGATCCTAACCCCACTAAAAATAAATTTTCTCCATTAAAAAGTCCTTTGTTAGATAACCAGGTATAAATGGATTCTATCAAACCATTGTAGCTGAACGATTTCAAACAATCACACTAATGATTCAGGCAGCAGCATGGCTTGGTGCTTTTGCACTGAAAATTTCTTGTGTTCTTGTTCTCTCTCAGGGAGGTCCTGTAGAAAAATTATATTCCCATAATGCTGGCAATAAGGCATAGTTCCGGTTTCTTCTAACACACACTCTGTATTATTGCCAATATCCTCTGCACCACTAGAGTCACAGAGTGTCTGATCATAGATGATGTTATACAATGCATATATCATGACACTGTTCTCTCAGAGTAAGAGTTAACCATAAAATTGCTCACTAAAGTTGGGAAAATTAATATATTCTCAAGATTTCCAAACCACGTCTTTAACTTTCCTATGGTATTACTTCTCTCTTTTTCCCTACTATATTTAGATCTTGACTTAAAAAGGAGGGGCAGTAGAACTGAACAAATTTTTTGAAGATTTATATTTAAGATGAGCAACACAGATAGTCATCCAAGTGTGAGGTCTCAGATTATGTCTCAATACTTAAAAGAGTATAGAAGTACTAAGGCTGTATATATGTACGAATTACATATATATGCACGAATTACCTCTAGAGATTTTCAAAGATGTAACTTGGTATCAATTTTCAAGGGATTCAGTTGAATAACTAACAAGCATGTTTGAAAATGTCACCTTTATGTTTTCTAAATATGTTTTCACATATACCATATAAAAGAAATTACCATGTTAAAAGAAATTATTCCAAAGGCATTGTCATTTGATAAGATTGTTACAGTGACAGATTTGGGTGAGCCAAGCTTTATCCTTGCAGATGGTTTCTAAAATTAACAAAAAAAATACAATAGTGAATACAGTGATGGGTACAAAATATACATTTTTATTTTACTGTCTTTTAAGAATAAATATTAGCCCATAACAAATCTACTATTTATTACATATTGCAATTAAAATTATTTAAAGCAATAGAATGTACAAAAATAATTAATTATTGAGGAAATATATTCTATACATTCAACAAGAAAGTCCTTGAAACAAACTTTGTAAATTATTAATCGTAATTTGGCAATCTATTAATGATACCATAGCAATACGGAAGCATGTAGCACTGCCAGGAACTCCAAAGCTGTTGGTTTTTTCCCTAACATTTGTATAAAACTGAAACTTTGAAGGTATTACACTGAGATATCAACTAAAGGAAACTAATATTTAGAGTGTTGTAAAAATGAACTACATTTACAAATCAAAGGAAGAAGGAGAAGAAAATAGGCATTTTCATATTCACTGCAAATATTCCCTGAGATGTGTAATAACTGGCAACAAAATATAAACTTTATCTTTACTGAACTGACATGAATCTTAGTCATGAAGTATTATCTTAAAAAAAACCCACAACTGATTGTGAAGCCCTCTCTTGTAGCATGCTTCCTGCGAGACAGAAAAACATGAAGAGATTTATTAGTATTTTAAAAATTGTTTGCTTGTTTTTAGATAAGTCTCGTTCAACCTCTGATTTGGGGGACTGGAAGTCATCCTCTTCTGCTACTTTCACCCTCTCTTCCAGGTAAGTCTATTCGGAAAAACAGGAAAGGCTGAGAATCTCTTCACAATCTAACTCTGCCTGGATCTAACACACCTTCAAATGCCCACAGCTGAGTGCAGTGCCTGCTGAATTTTCAGATTATGTACAAGGCACAGCAACATCACACAGAAATACCCGCAGGACTGGCAAAACCTTCTAAGAAGCAGTAAGCACCATGCTGGCTACTTTCCAGATTATAGTTCTTACCCATCAGGATTCAGGCTCACGAGCAGCATGACTACATTGAATTCTACACCGCTCGTTTATGCCAGATCACTCGCTGTCTTCTGAGGAACAGATTAATTGAAAAATTGAGACTTACTGCTAGTGTCAAGTAAAATGTGAATGTCTCGTCGGCCTCTGGAAGATCATCATCACAGACAGATATATACACTGTTCGGTTTGTTTCTGTATCAGGTATAAATGCAGCTGCATACGTGTCAAAAAAGTCTCCTGTGTCTTCTCCATCAATCTGCAATAGATACGCAACTGAATGCCATCTCCTTCTTCCCCCACTACCTTCTAAAATGTTATTCTGGATTCATTTAACAGGCTTCATTCACTCTTCTTTGCACATAACTCTTTCCACAATTTCCTCTGCTATCATAGAGTTGATTTCCAGACAGAAGGGGTAAATAATAGGTCAATAATAGGTCTTTGTATCCTTGCTGAGCAACCAGGAAAAAAAACAAATCCAAAACCAACCCCACCACCAAAACAAACACAACACTTCATTCAGAACCACCCTTCCTCGCAACTGGGTATCTTTTGCATAATGCACTATTTGACTTTTTTTTTTTTAATGGAAAAGCTATTCCTAGCACAGATCTGTACACCTCATACTACCTGACCTGAATTAAGCTTACCCTGAAATGTGCCTTCCTCCTTTCTGTCTCACTCTAGGGACTAGAAGAAGCTTAGGCATTTAACTGAGATTAAGATTTTGATGGCCAAAGTTGGCAAGATAGTCTTCTATAAGGAGCAGCTCTGCTGTCATTTAGGCAACAAAAGAAAATCCCACTGATTTCTGCCATGACTAAGGCAGTTAGAGGAGAGATTACAAAGGCAGTGGTGTCAAGGCAGCAAAGGGTCCAGGTTAAGTTTACAGGTGAAGCTGAGACTAAATGGAGAGAAGCGAAAAAGGCTACTCTTCATCTAAGAACAGTGAAATCTAAAATTCAGTGAAGAGGAAACAAAGAATGGAAGGTACTTTTTTGTTCTTGCCTATCACTGAGCATATTGGCAACTACTTTCCATATATCTCAGCCAGTAGTCGGGCTGGCTCAGATATAGCCAGAAAGGTCTTACAAAAACAGGCTCTAAACATCCTCCTAAACAAGCTGCTCGATTATTCATGTCAGAGACAAATCTTGGAATTTCAGGTCCTTAATAAGGAAACTTATTACACCAGTAAAAAGCACTAGTTTCAAAGCACAATCACATTCTCTCAAGGTTTTCTCCTCAGACGTTAATAAAGTGTGAAATCCCTACAGATCAGTTTCTACTTCTTGGAATTTCTAAGACATATATTTTTCATATCACAGTGGAGGAAAATACAATGTTGTGCAGGGACACCGATAATTTCTTTTGTCTACAGACTGTAGAAATTGACAAGCAGTACACCTTCTGTAGTACACTGCTGTGCTCCCATCATGGTTAATGACATCTAAGAAATAAAGGAAATATTGTAAAAATACTGACTCTGATCTCCAAATGAAAAGAACAATGTAATTTTTAAATTTCATATGGAAATCTGACTCCAACAGTGGAGTAGCTACTGAAAAGCAGGTTCTGCAGTAATCTAGAACAGGAAAAATTGCTATATATCCACGTTCTCAGCGTGAGTGCACAGCCACAGTCAAAATCAAACAAGCATATCAGCTTGGACTTCTAGTTGAGCAGTAGCAGTTGGGTCCCTGAGATGTTTATACCATTATTTTGAAACTAGTGCAGTCGGCAGCAGTTTACTCAGTTATATAAACTGGGTGTTGCTTCTCCAAAGTGAGGCACTGTCCCAGCGAAATACCACCCTCCTTTTCACTGGCTTGATAGAAACAGGCAACATTCAAAAATTCAGAAATAAATTAATATGTACTGAGAATACTACTAAGGCGTTTTCTTACCGACACAATGGCTGTGATGTTAGCAGGCTTCCCTGTCCTTTCGATTACAAGACGTATAACAGTTGTACTTGTTTCATTAACTACAAATTCTGTCTGTCCACTGAACTTCACTTCTGTGTCTCCAGATGTGAAACGAATGAGTAGTGCTAAAAGCAAATAAACTAATAAAGAAGCCGAGGGCATCCCTATAGAAAAAAAAAAAGAAAATAAATAATTAAAAATAAATTTTGAATCTAAAATATATAAAAACAATCCTTCTCAACACTGTCTTGTGGGCTTCAGAAACGAGATGAAAGCATGCACAGGTCTCAGCTATAATTAAGTCGGATAATGTAATTATTAGCTACATCTAATTCTATTTTCACAATTTTTACATAGAGATTTTCTAAACAGCACTTATCAACTTTTTTCAAGTGAAGGAATAAGCAACTTTTAAGAAGAAAACAATGGCATTGTTACAATTGTTTTCATTTTCAACCAGCTCAAACGCTGACAGTTCTGTTTCCACCTTCTTCGCTCTCTCAATTTTCTTTATAAATGAACATGAATTGACAGGAAGGGTGAAGGGTTGGATGTTTGCAGTCATCTCACAGACCATCTTCAGACACCTTATGGACCATGAAATTTTCTTGAACATTTGCACATTTACTTGAGATTCTTTTCACTGCTTCTGTTATCCCACGATCCTTTCCATGCTTTCTCATCACGGGGAATCACTGTGGCACATTTTAATGACATTGTAACCTTTGTACAGACCTTTATTTTTATGTGTTTCTCCACAATGTCTGGTTTTCTGTTAGGATAAGGCAGCTTAAAATTAAGGTGGTTTATTTCTCTCACATCAAAGGCCAGTTACGTAATGTAAATTACAAGTTTAAGTTCCAGTGAAGTCATTGGGTGGTGATACTGTGGAAGATGCATTTTTAAGAGGCTCTGGCACAACAAATTGGAAACTGCTGCTACGTTATGCAGAGGCTCATGTTGTACAGTGCTGACCAAAACTGAGATCTTGAGTGCTGCAAGGAGCAGATTTCTGTCATAAGGATCTGAGTAATTTTTGAACAGATCAAGAGAACAAAGTTATGCCCCAAACACCAAAAAGTAGTGCAGTATGAATCTTTAACAAAACTAGTTCTTTCAGTAAGATCCTTCTAACTGTAGTCAGTGTTTTATAATGTTACTTTTTAAAACTTCTCTACAAAAAGATATGAACAATATTTGTCTAATTACATATATACTAAAATTTCCCTTTGCTTAAAATTATATTTCTGAGTGCTATGCTTACCAGCCATTTCTGGTCAATTTTGTGCAAAACGTAACACATTAATATTTGCATATCCAGAAAATTTAAGATCAGTCATGTCTGCAAAAGACTTCTTTTAATCATTCATGAGGAAATGAATATTTAGTCATAAGTGATCGCTGAAACAGAAAATATCAGGAACATTGAAATGTATTTTTGTAAATTGTGTGCCAAATACACTTGAGGTGTATTTTGATTACAGAATCTATTCACAGGTTCTGAGTGTTTTATTTAACCAATCAGGTAGATTGAACCTTGCATTGAATAGAGAATAACATAGTGTTCAGTCAGCTAAAAGTAACAGAGCTTCAGAAAGACTTCAACACTTACAATAAAATTTTTTCTGGGATTAATGTTACTTTGTGAGGACTCTAACAGACTGCTTTCAGGCACACTAAAGAACAAAAATTAATCCACATACATGATACATCAAATTACTCTAAGCTGGAAATACAGTCAAAAAAACTGTCAATGTTTCTCAGAATTCCTTCAAGAAAGGACTGGTAGGATGAAAAAATTACCCAATTTTAATTATTTGTAATAAAAACATCACCTAGCTCTACTGAACATCCACTATGAATGTGGAAAAAATAAGAACTAACCATTTTTCCTACAAAAACAACTGTTCATTTTACAACATATTTGGACAGTGTTTCTCCAAAAAAAAAGTCACACAGTGAAATAATTTTGCTGCAGAACTTCACATTGCTATAAATTTTTATTACCATGAACACTGTCCTTCAAGTTCCTACTGAGAATCAAATGTGCAACAAACTTTCATGAATAATGCTTGATTCCCACATATCTATCTATTTAGCAACTCTAATGCAGAAAAAGCTTACAGCAGGAAGCAAAGATAAAATATATATGCATGAAGCCCCTGGGATTTAAAATTGTCACCATTTCCAAAGCTGATTCTTTTAACTTCCAAGATGGTTTTTTTTGCTGGTTTTGTGCAGAACTGCTCCTAAATATACAAACCTTTGAGCCGGAAAGAGAACAGTAGTCTAACCTTTGTAAACTCTGAGACAATTACACTGTCTGCAAATGCAGGCATCATCCATACTAAACTGAGGAATTTGTCGACCTTTTAGCTTCAGCTGTTACCTTGTCATAGACGTCGCAAATATCTTCCCACGGTTCATGCTTCTAGTAAATAATACTGAAAACATGATCCTTGAGGGCAAGATTACAAAGTTTAGAATTACTTGAATTCTATTACTTCTACTAGAGAGCATTCTAAAACTATAGGATTACTCCTGTGGAACAAGAGAAGTTTCACAATCACACCATCAATTATTTAGCTGGTGTGTATTCATTCTTGTTACATTATTTGTACTAAGATTTACTTTGCACAGCCTGCCAAAAGTTTTTAGTGTGTTTATACAAACTCAACTTTGAAAATCATTATTATCTTTTTAAAAATTATGTAATATTGTGAAAATTACATAAATCGGGACTTAGAGAGTGCAGAACAAGTTTACTCAAGTAGCCAAAAAGATTAGAGGTCACAATATTTTACTTTATTAAATATGAACTCACTTTGTTTGCTAAATTTCTGGAGAAATTTCTATGGGAACACAATTTATCCATTATTAATTGCATTGCATAAAGCTCAGCAGAAACCTTTGCAACATCAGGGATTAAAAGACAACTCTGCCCCGCCTCCCTCACCCTACTATATCAGTGATGAGTTTAATTTTTATTTATTTCAGATGAAGCTGGAACTTTTTATTTATTTCAGATGAGCTGAACCTTGTTCCCTGCTAAAATGGGTAAACTGTGTGTTTGGTGTATCAAATACTCCCCCCTGCTTCAGCTAAATACTATAGAGTTCAGTTCTCTCAATCCAGATTATTCAGTCAGGCTTTAAAATAGATTAATGGGTCAAAGTTATTTAAATGTTTTTGAAACAACAACAAGCAATGGAATATTCTATAGTTCGAGAGTATGTACAAGCAAAGAGACCAAGTATTCTGCTACTATATTCTGACTAAAGCCACTTCAAATAACGATTTGTAGTACCAGTGGTAGTTTAAAGCAATCCACGACCTGAAACCTAGGTGATGTTTGTAATGGATTTATAATAAAAGCTTCTGGCATCAAAACCAAAACAAAGTATCTCTCAAAAAATTATCTCCACATTTGAATGGTTTGAGCTAAACAAAATCAATTCTGTTCACTGATTTTACTCATCATCCAAGTCTCTTCTAAGAGACTGCACTTTCTGAAGTTGAAAGTCCTAAACCTTAAAAGTCTAGAAAATCACATTCTTCAACCACATAATTTAAAAAAAAGTAAAGAAATCTGACTCAGTGTTCTGAGTTACAACCCCTAACTAACAATTTTCTCTTAGCCTGCGTTATATGGCACTTCCTGAAGTGTACTTGTGTTTCCCAGGAAATTACAGAATCCTAGCCTAGAGCCCAGCAAAGCATATACCGATTCCACACAGTAATTTCCACAGTAATGTCACCAGTTATGTGAGGAATACCATTTCAATCTGTTGCCCACTTGCCGCCAAGGAGAGGCAGGCTTCTGAAACTGTTTTCTCATAACTGATTAATCACCAGGATTAACTCACTTTTTCTGCTGAGTTTCTGGAACAAATTTCAGATGAAGATTTTAAAGTTTATAAAGAAGTTTATAACTCACTTTTTCTGTTGAGTTTCCGGAACAAATTTCAGATGAAGATTTTAAAGTTTATAAAGAAGTTTATAACTCACTTTTTCTGTTGAGTTTCCGGAACAAATTTCAGATGAAGATTTTAAGGTTTATAAAGAAGGAGTGGTCTTTTCTGAAGATTTTTTGTAAAGAATAAGTCTTTTCTGAAGATTTTTACACTGGCTTCTGTGTTCAATAAATCAAAACCCTCAAGCATGGAAAGGTCTCCTGGCTGTTTTCACTGAAGGGCGAGGGAACCTACAGACCAGGGCACACAGAGAGATCAAAAAGAGAAACAAAAGAGTTCTGAAAGACTCCAAGTCTGAAACAAAGTGAATGTAAAATGCCAGATATGGAACGGAGAATGGCAAAAGAAAGGGGAAGCCATTCAAAAAGACGTAGATGGAACGAGGGATTAAGCGATTAAGCGCCCTGTAACTTGGATTTTCCATTGCCGCGGGAGAAGAAACAAGGAGGTATACTGAAGCAGCACCTCTCCCACCTAGCAGCTATATCCTGCTTACCACCAACCATCTCAGCGCAACTCATTGTTAAATTTCCACAGTGCAGCAGAGCCAGTGTAAAGCCCAGTGCACTTCTCACTGCTCGTCCTTGTCTACTGCCCATGATTACAAATGCCCAGCCAAGTAGAACATTCAAAAACTGGCATGCCTGGTACTTTGCACTGAGTACAGCATTGCAGCTATCAGTGGTTGCCAGAGAGAAGTCTATTCACAGCAGAGATGCCAGCACCCAGCAGCATCTTTGGCTCAACACAGTGGGAGAGATACATGTGCTCTTTCATATGTAAAGAGGAGATTCTCTCTAGTACACGGAAACAGCAGAGAGCAAGAAGTTTCACAAGGCCATTGCCCTTGCTGCACCTGGTGTAGAAATGCATTAAAACCCCACGTTTTCAGCATTTTTATTTTAGGCGTTCCTGGAATCTCTGAACTTTACAATAGGGTTGGAGAACAACCCAGGAGAGTAGTGCTAATTGTAAAAACTTTTATTTAGTCAACTCCTCCTTTCCATATTGTCATGATCTCAAATTAAGAGAGGAACGTTTTACTTTAGACTGTAGTTTTCTCCACCTCAAAGTCCCCACAGTCCACACATAAGCAAAGGAGGGCACAACAGCTGTGTCTGAAAAAAATAGCATAAGTATTACTCAAGTCTGCTCTGCTGGTTGTCATTTCTTTTTCAGTTTGGGGTGCT